GATGTTTTTATACATGATTTATCACATATTTGTATGGCAAATTGTGTTAATTTGCAAAAGGTTACGATAAAAGTAAGTTAAACATCAAAATATTGAAAAACAGACTCCATGTCCCTTATGGGCCACCGTACGTCAGATATTTGACTTGTTATAATGATAACAATAAAAATAGTTGCAACTTGAGTGCCATTCATTCTAAAACACACAGAGACAATCGCCTCAAAGAAAACGGTTCAATTAATTAATAGCGACAAAAAGCGTTTCCATAATATTGAGAAATCCGTTACAAAAGGCAAAGTTCATTGTGCGATTCCGACTAATATCTCATATATGTGACCGCCTCCGTGGTCTTGTGGTAGAGCGTCCGCCCGGAGAGCGGAAGATCCAGGGTTCGATCCCGGGCCGCGTCATACAAAAAGACGTTAAAAGATTGTACTTGTTGTTACCCTGTCTGGCGCTCGGCATTAAGGGACTAAAACAAGGACTGGTCGGCTCGGAGTCAGTATACTGTGTCTGAGTGGGGTATTCATGTTAAACTGCGGCATGGTATCTCAGTGAGCTAGCACTATAAATCGGCATCAGTCCTGACTAGTACAAGCAGCCACACACACACATACACGTGCATGCACGTCGCTATATAAGTGCAATAATCTTGGACGCGACGTTAAACCCAATTTCACCTCACCTCACCTCATATATGTGTTCTTGAATCACAGTCAAATAGTGATGATACCAGGTGTTCGAGAAGAACACTATTTCTTCACATTCGGATCAACTATCCAAGGGAAGACTGCAGCTGAAACACAAGCGATATTATGTACACGGATAAGTTATGCTTATTTAGACTGATAATATGGGACGGACTCTGATATTGACGAGAATAACGGGGTAATATGTTTAAGCTGGAAGTATATGTGTAGATGACGGTGTAATAACTGACATTACCCAACATGCCACAATGGCATTAGGTCCATGTTAGTCTTTGTGTCAGGATTTGTGCCTCCGTGGTCTAGTGGTAGAGCGTCCGCCCCGAGAGCGGATGATCGGGGGTTCGATCCCCGGCCGCGTCATACCAAAAGATGTTTCAAGATGATAGTTGTTGTTACCCCGCCCGGCGCTCGGTATTGATGATGGTATTAAGGGGCCAAAACCAGGACCGGTCGGCTCGGCGTGTCTGAGTGGGGTATTCAACTGCGGCATGGTATCTCAGTGAGCTAGCTCTATAAATCGGCATCACTCCGGACTCGCTATATAAGTGAAATAATCTTGAACGCGAAGTTAAACCCCATTTTACCTTACCACCTTTGTGTCTTTCGCTTTTGATTCAAAGACGTCATGCGTTTAAATGTTGTGTAGAGGTTATTAGCGGATGTATTCAGAATACCAATTATTTTATGTACCATGATGATTGGAACATACATATTTTTCAATTATCTTTAAAGCTTCGCCGTGTGGGATGAGGTTAATAAAGCCCTTCTGTGTGTGCAGTGGTCGAGGTGTGGTTTATAGAGCCCTCGTGTCTGCAGTGGTCGAGGTGAGGTTTATAGAGCCCACGTGTCTGCAGTGATTGGGATGAGGTTTATAGAGCCCATGTGTCTGCAGTGATTGGGATGATGTTTATAGAGCCCGTGTGTATATGCAGTGATTGGGATGAGGTTTATAGAGCCCATGTGTGTGAAGTGATTGGGATGGGGTTGATAGAGCCCATGTGTCTGCAGTGATTGGGATGAGGGTTATAGAGCCTGTGTGTCTGCAGTGATTGGTATGAGGGTTATAGAACCCGTGTGTGTGCAGTGATTGGGATGGGGTTTATAGAGCCCATGTGCCTGCAGTGATTGGGATGAGGGTTATAGAGCCCATGTGTCTGCAGTGATTGGGATGAGGGTTATAGAGCCTGTGTGTCTGCAGTGATTGGGGTGAGGGTTATAGAGCCCGTGTGTGTTCAGTGATTGGAGTGAGGTTCAAAGGGCCCATGTGTCTGCAGTGATTGGGATGAGGTTTATAGAGCCCATGTGTCTGCAGTGATCGGGATGACGTTTATAGAGCCCGTGTGTATATGCAGTGATTGGGATGAGGTTTATAGAGCCCATGTGCGTGAAGTGATTGGGATGGGGTTGATAGAGCCCATGTGTCTGCAGTGATTGGGATGAGGGTTATAGAGCCTGTGTGTCTGCAGTGATTGGTATGGGGTTTATAGAGCCCGCGTGTGTGTGCAGTGATTGGGATGAGGTTTATAGAGCCCATGTGTCTGCAGTGGTTCAGGTGTGGTTCAAAGAGCCCATGTGTGTGAGTGACTTGGGTGAGGTTCACATTGTGGATCTTCACTAATATGTATTTGTTTGTTAAGCATTAAAGGGTTGTGAGTTTGAAATTTGAATGCTGTTGGGAACACGTGTGATAAGGTCATTATGTGGACAAACAGCGAACTGTTGTTTAATTCGAAGTTTAAGAAACAGTCTCTTCCATACACAAGTGTTTGTATGTTCGTCATAGTGATATCAAGGATCAAAGTATGGTTTCAGCTTGTAATAGGTTGAAGGTGAGGTGAGGTGAGGTGATGAACTTTCATTGTAAACAGCTGTGAGTAAAACTTTGCGAGTTCATTTAGCGCATTTGAGTAACATTTCCCTGCAAACATCCTTGTTCACTGAAAATAAGAGATTTAACGGCCGCTTCTGTCAGTCATCACACACCCAAACCACCGAAACGTGCGTAGCGAATTTTTTACTACGGTTCCCAACATGGTTGGATACTTTTCACGAATGAGAAAAGCATTAACGAAAACGTATCAAAACAACATTCAAACAAAGCTATTCCGGTCTATCCGGCGAGTTGCAACTGGAGTTGTTGTTAATTCGCTATCATATTGATAAAGAGTAGACTGTTAACAATCTCCAACACGTAACTGATATTTCATGTAAATTAGGGCAACTTTTATATCTTATCTAAAAATATACCTAAGATACAATTATATGTGTTCAATCATACTATATAATACTAAAACCCGATGTGTTTTAAATAGGATCTGGAATATATATGATATATGGGAGAAATATTCGTGAATCATTACGCAACGAGTTGGCAATCCTTTCTGATATACCCGTTTGCACTTAGACGGAACCCAGTCGCATTATTGACCACGGGGAGGGGCATGAGTCGCTGTTCGGCTTGTCCCGGAATAACACGAGTTGGTCACGAATGGATTTGATGTATTTAAAACGTCTGACCGTTCATGAACATAATTTATCAATTTCACAGTCATGCAGCATTACGTGCACTCTAGACTCAAAGTGTTTTGTCGCGGTATGTGGGTATTCTTTGTATTCGGGTAATGTTTGGGGTTCTACCCGCTCAACAGAGACTGATTGGCATGAAGGTCAAATGGACGGTGAATGGACGTAGAATTACGACTTTGAGGTATTGAGATAGATATATCAAGGATCTTAGGGGCACGGATGGCCCAGTCGTTTACTGTGCAGACACCTTTGGTCGTGGGTTCGAATCCCGGTTCGCCCTGTTTATGTTTTAAGGATTGTTAGCACGTGGGTCGTGGGTTTCACAAAAGTGGTAAACGTCTGACACCTGAATCACTGAAGGCTTTCCTCCCACATCAAGCTAGCACGTCGTGATATAAGGGGAATACTGTTCAATGCGGTGTTAAAACCAACTCACTTAAGTTATTATCAAGTGTGTGTGTACCTTACTTTATCATATTAATGTACGTGCAAAAATGAACATTTACTTGTGTGGCGCTGACATCCATCTACTCTGAAATGGCTCACCCCGCGACAGATGAGTTTTGCAGTACACTTTTCTGAAGAGGATTCGTCTGATTTTAAGGCTTGGAGGTAAGAAGTAAGCCTGGTATCCTGCGGTAGAGATTGTCATACCTTTAGCGCGAAAAGGATCGGGGACCAAGATACTATAATTTGAACGTTAAAGCACATAAATGAAGAACATTAGTATATCTGAGGCTAGAAACAGGTTGGTACTTCTGTATTCAAAAATAAAGGCAATGTTCCACTGTAACATCAAAAGGCCATACACAAGATCTTAAAGTCTATTCTAGCCCCGGCTGGGAACCAGTGTCAGGACTTCAAAAGCAGCAGTAATATGAAACATTTTATTACACCCATGAACAAGAATGGCTGAAGCATTCTGGACAAGATTGAGAATTTCTCGGAAATTCCTGCAGGAGGCGCTGTTCCAATGGTACATTTTGGAGAAAATCACCGAACACACGGCGTGATGGGAAGCGTCCTTTGTCAACATGTTTTGGTTTGTTGTTTAACGCCGCACTCAGCAATATTCTACCTATATGACGGCGGTCTGTAAATAATCGAGTCTGGACCAGACAATCCAGTGATTAATATCATGAGCATCGATCCACGCAATTGGGATCGATGACATGCATCAACCAAGTCAGCGAGCCTGACCACCCGATCCCGTTAGTCGCCTTTTACGACAAGCATAGTCACCTTTTACGGCAAGCATGGGTTGCTGAAGACCTATTCTGTACCGGATCTTCACAGGTCTGATGTATTAGAAGTTCAATACTATTTACATTTACCTCGTTAACAGCTGTGTATTTTACCCGAGCAATAGGTTTTGAGAAAAGCGGTAATAAGATATGGCAGATCTAACATTATAAAATATTTGCTTGAATTTTTGCAATCTCAGAAAATTGCGTGGATCGATGCTCATAATGTCAATCACTGGATTGTCTGGTCCAGACTCGATTATTTACAGACCGCCGTCATATAGTTGGAATATTGCTGAGTGGGGCGTTAAACAACAAACCAACCAACCAATCTAATACATCAATCACATGACGGTAGACCTTCGAAATCACAATAAAGGAAAAGCCATTTGTATCTGCATTGTTTTGTTAATAAAAATGTCACATTCCAAATTTAACACATAAGCCTCCTTCACTAAACAATGTTTGCTGGGTTATCGAGGCGAACCACAGTATCCTGTTTACACACCACATGAGCTCACAGAGATAAGTCGCAATGTGTCCGTTACATTTCTCCTTACACCAGGAAGCCCGTTCGTGTGGCAATAATGTCAAGTCATTGGATATCCCAATTCAAGAATATATTTCAACAGTAGAGACGACTGGATATATGTACCTAGTTATGTTTCATAACATTACAGGTATGTATACGTTACTCAAACTTGTAAAAAAGGATTAAGCATACCCAGTAATGTGACATAAAGGTAAAGGAATTATCTTCAGCAGAGTGCGCAGCTCATCTAGATATGTAACGCATGTGACCTCACAACATTGCTTGCACGTACTTTTTAAGCACTTAGTAGCTGTTATAACTTTTTGTACCGTCGTCCCCGTGTGGTCCCTGGTTACACTTGATTTCTAGCAACCTATGAGACTATTTAATAAGATCGGGTGGTCGGGTTCAGTGACTTGATGGTCCTGATATAACACTGTTGTTTTTTCTGGTTCAGACTCGATGAATTTCAGCTCACCCTGATATAGTTTGAATATTTCTGACTGCGGCGTTCCACATCAAACAAACTCATATGTGTATATAAACATGCCCGTCTCAATCACAATAGCATTGTGGCCTCAAACACAATCTTGAAAACCAGACATGAGAGGTCATTCATAACCTGAATGTGTTTTGGGTGGTAAATATCCAATAGTAGGAATAAACACTGTCAGTTGTCCACACAGCGACAAAATAAAACAAGGTAACATTTTCAAATCCAACCCTAAGGGGTCCACAAGCACTGATAAAGAAACTGATCCCACAAGTGTCCTCGATATTTCATATATATAATTTTCAAAAGATGTCAGCTACGTCCCTGTTCGACACTGATTTTTCCTTCTAACGATTATTTCATTTTAATTCTCAAGCGGTTAAATTCTGACTCGATCGCCTATAGACAAGGGCGGCGCCATGTTTGTTTGCAAACATTGAGGGTGTTACCTAGCTAGCTACCTAACTGACCTTTTATATTTGTATATTTATCCGTATATGGCCCAAAACGTTTTTATCATTTGGCTTATCCTGCCAGAACCTACCCATTATATGATAAATGCACCTACTTGGTTCTGAACATTCATTCGTCTTAATAGTGTTCCCAGTTACATAGAAATTTGGTCACTACTGTATTAAACACCGGAATCATGGGTTTGGAATACCAAATGCCCGTTTCAAAAGACATGAGTAGAATACAAAAGAATTTGTCCTAGAAAATTAAACATGTACACACTAGATCATACATGATAACAGGATATGACTCGATTTGGTCTGAATGTCACTGGTAAATGGCTCATCACACAATGTACAGTTATACGTCACATAACAGGCAACCAGCATAACTATTGGTTGATTAATTGTGCGTGTGCCTCTGATGGTAGGAGGTATAATATCATTTTAATACTATTACTCCAGGCCCCATAGTACACGATGCAATCGTGGGGATGTCTGTGTTTAGTGCAGGACAATTTACAATATGGCAATGCAGAAACACGACAAATTGACACAAGAGGTCACATGCAAGCTCCTACACTAGCGGGTGATATCAGATTTGTGCTAAGACATTCCGTCGTATCTCTGAACTGTAAGCTGTTACACCTGGATATCAATCATTGTGCAGAGGTGCACTCTCAGGGACCGTCCTTGAACATGAGACCCGTGAAGATTCCTGGGTAGAATAGGTCTTCAGCAACCCATGCTTGTCGTAAAAGGCGACTAACGGGATCGGGTTGTCAGGCTCGCTGACTTGGTTGATTCACATAAAATCACATATGGTCATATAAAACCAAATTCTCCCCATATCCACTAAAGCATAATTTGAACACAACATTTAAATCTTCAAAAATATACAAATCATTGTATCATTGTATGAGTGTTATTAGAAACTGTCAGCTGTTGAACAACTGCAAACACGGAAGGTGTTTTCAATTTTCGGGGAAATGAGGCGTTAAGTAACAAGCAAACACTTACATTTGCAATGTGTGTGAGTGGCGGGTGCTGCCGACAGAGCGGGACATGCTTGTCCTGGTGTGATTAATGGCTCTCAGTTATCCTTTGACATCATTGTCACCACTATTTTGCCTTTTACCCCCAATGGAATCTGTTTCAGCAGTAAACCGAGACTGATTGTTCTCTGGCTTGACCTTGTATATTGTGTGATCTCGCTTTACCTACAATAATGATCCTAAAATATCGCGATGACACCTGTTTTTGATTGACTTGAACTGACAAAACCCTGCAAATGTGTAATTTTGTCGGATGGAAAACGTGCATACCTCTTACCCGAACTGAACGCGCGCACACCCAACGCCTATGACCCCAAAGTGCGTGCTGCTTCCTCGATCTAGTGTCCAGAGCATCTGGCCGGAGAGCGATGGTCGGTGGTTCGATCCCCTACCGCGTCATACTAACAGATGTCAAAAGATTTACCCTGCGATTTACCCTGCCAAGCGCTCGGGCTAAAGGGGATAAACCAAGTCGGCTCGGTGTCAGTTGTTGTGGTGTCTGAGTGGGGTATCCATGTTAAACTTCGGAATGGTGGGCCAGCGCAATAAACCCGTCATCAGTCCTTGCTAGGACAAGCAGCCACACACACGTGAATTCACGCTATATAACTGTTATAATCTTGAACACAACGTTACACCCTCGACGTTACACCCTATTTTACTTCACACACACTAAACGTAAAGAATTAAGATTTTGATCCGACATCGAATTGTTGATCTGCTCCCTTAACAAGTTTTCCCAAACGTCTTCGCGCATATTCCAATTGTGCAATTAACTTAAATTTATCTTAATTCCTTGTTACTCGTATACACTGTACACATCCCGTTACATACATATTGATATATATGGCTGTGTATTAAATTGTTTAACAATGATCGGAACTGTGTTACATTGTTGCTGTTGAGATTCGGTAGACGCTCACTGCATTGCATTGACAGTCATCAGTTGTCAGGAAGTTACTTTATTTAGATCCCCGTATGCAAGTTCCTTCCCGGCGGATGAGGCCTTCGTTACACTCTCGGTAACACTAGTGTTGGCGCGGCCATTACAAGAATCTTGGAATTTGCCCTCTAACCTCAAATGTAGTGACGTTTATACTTTTATTTGTCTTTTTGAATGCCATCAGTTAATTTTGAAAAGGTTTACGACTGACCATATTTCCCAGATGAATTTACCATTTTGTTGGTTTGATCGGATTGGTTCGAGACTGCAGACGAACAGAACATCAGTCAACTTCTCCCTTACATTCTTACTATACCAATTACATGGTAGTTGTAATGAAACAGAAATTCAAATTGACAAAGAAAATAATTTAGCAGGGGTAAGAGTATTCGGCGTTAGGGCAATCATCAGTCGGTTGCGAGTTCAACTTACACGCATGGTTGAAGCAACCTATCACAGTGGGGAGCTTTGACTGTCGGCGGGGATGGTATAGAGAGTTCCGCGGACGGGATATCGCTGAGAGAAGCTTGGCTAGTATGGTCTGTAAACTTCCGGTCCGGCATTCCGCGGACGGTGATAGTATGTTACTGAAATTTCTGTATTGTTCTATGTGGTGAGGGTATGGGGTAGAAATTTCCAGTAGCTTGTTAGGTTGAATATAAGGGGACAATAGTGAGTTCACGTATCTCTCACGCATTTCATCGCTTTAGAACCAGCTTTCATGTGAGAATCATCATACCTGCCAAGCCCATCGCTGAAGCTTGATCACTGTAGCCGTTTCATTGAATATATAATTATTATTATCACTGATTTTTGCTGTCACCAATGTATTTGTGTATTTGATTCTGACCACTGTCATCATATTGTTTTTTGCCATTGAATATTGTATTACCACCCTAGTGTGTACTGCCATTGTAATTGTGCAGTAATTTGTATTGATTTGTAAACTTATTTACTTTTAGTAATATATTTGTTAAATGTATAGATTTTAATGGTTGTTTGTTGGTCTTACATCCGATTCGTTTACGTACAGGTCTCATGGGAACCGACACGTAACCATACAGCCAAACATACGACGATGCAAGAAGAAAACTTGAAACATTTTAGAGAAATAACGAAAACAGTTACCATCTATGAAATTTACGTTTTTTTCCGGAATCATGATGTCTTGATGTACAAGCCCACAGGTAACCAATTTTATAACCAACAATCGTTAAAGGATTGAGCATCTAAGACATGAGTTTACAAATGTTTATCTCAATTCTGACATTCGTAATATATGCGTTCCTGTCTGTTAGGTGTGGTCGTGGCTGCGTGAGGATGGTTCGTCCCAGACCGTCCAAGTGTCTGTTGGTCATCATGCATCTACTGTGTAAGTTGATTAAATGTGACACAACTCAATGGAAATAAAAACGAAAAATAATATATAATTTTACGATTTCCAGTATATCATAAGCATCTGTTTATGAATAACTTTCACATGGTGATGGTACCCGGTGTTCTAAAAATGATGACCACAATTCTGTAGAGGAAAGTGACAAAAGTTCTTTCCATAATAATAATAATTTCGAGAATACCATATGCATTTTGTTAAAAATGAAAGCAAATGCCATCTGAAGTTTACAGAGAAAACAATATGCTGGACTTCCTCATTGAAAACACCCCTGGGTGAAATTTAAGGGTAAGACATTTTGGCAAGAAGTAGGCATACCCGTGGGCATCAATTGTGCTCCCATTTTTGCTGAGGTAAGGTCCGGTGAAATGGAGTTTAACGTCGCGTGCAAGATAATTGCAGGTATATATTGACGTGTGTGCACATGTGTGTGTGTGTGTGTGTGGCTGCTTGCACTTGTGCTGATGGTAGACATGTGGAGGACATTTCCAAATTTGACGCATCAGTGACGCAAAAACGATGTCCGACTGTTGAGTTGAACCATATGTTCCCGTGGGTTTCTTTTCAGAACAACTGACTTGCCTTTGCATGTGTTTGTGACGTGTGTCTCCGGTTGGGCAGGATACGCTCACCAATTCGCAAACACCTGGTTTCATCAGTATCTGACAGTGATTCATAAACACATGTTCATGATATAGTCGGAATCATACAATCGACTCTGCTTTCGGCAGATATTTCTCATAAACATGGAGGGGCGGTCGGGTAGCCTAGTGGTTAAAGTGTTCGCTCGTCACGCCGAAGACCCGGGTTCGATTCCCGACATGGGTACAATGTGTGAAGCCCATTTCGGGTGTCCCCCGCCGTGATATTGCTGGAATATTGCTAAAAGCGGCGTAAAACCATACTCACTCACTCACTCATAAACATGGAAATATAAATATGGAAAGGGCTTATATTTTATCAATCACTATCAAATAGTGATGATACCAGGTTTTCTCGAAAAGGTGACCTCATGCTGCCCCATCGGTGGCACCCGTCACAAACACATACAAAGGCAAATCAATTGTTCACTTGAAAATGGAATGGTAAAAGAGATCACAACCCACAGCAGAGTGAATTTTCAAATCTAGTATATTTTGACGATTTGAGCAAGGCGGTAACGTTGTTTGTCGTGGAACAGTATACAACCAATCCTGGCTTTCAGGTTGCACTGGTACACCTCACCATGTTTAGAGTAGGTATATAAGTTTTTCTTGTTGCTGTGTAATATTTCTGGCGGATTTTCTGACTGTCATTTCAGCGTTTTCCAATGTGTTTTCAAGGTTAGCATAGTCCAGGCAGCCCCGCCCTTTTTTTACAATGTTTGTTATTTCTGCTGTATGGGTGCACACGTTTCAGTTTGCGTTGATACATTGTTTTTCCACATACGTATTGTTGTTGCTTGCAAGGAGGATATATGTTTAACTATATTTGGTTTGATACAGAACACAGAACAGATTCGGGAATGAAAAGGATGGCTTCATGTGTCATCACTCTCCATTGTTATGATTGTTACATTTGTTAATTGTTGCTTGTTCCATTTTAGACCTTCATATTGAAGACAGCTATTCAATCATCAGTATTTCTCAGACCTTTCTGTTAAAATATTAGGTATATGTGTAGTAAGTAGTATGGTTGAGCACAATGTTTACCGATGTTTTTAGATATTTTGTTTTGTCTTGATTTGACTTTTGCAATGGCCTATATCATTAAATATTGGTGTTAGTTTTTAGTCTTCAGTATTTATACAGAAAGCAGTAAAAACATAAATTCTGACAGAGACTTTTGTGGCGATTTGTAAACCGTCTTCATAAATTTATTTAATGCTTATGTGCTTGTACAAAAAGAGTTTACTGGACGTTAAACATACATACATCGATGCACGCATGCACGCACGCACGCACGCACGCACGCCCGACGCACACACACACACATTAACATACATACATACATACATACATACATACATGCATGCATGCATGCATACATACATACATACATACATACATACATACATACATACATACATACATACATACATACATACATACATACATACATACATACGTACATCGTAAAATCATCCTCACTCACTCACAGCGGTGTTTATCAAATTACTATATGCATGTGCATATACATGAAAATTTGTACAAGACAAGAGACAAAATACAAGTTGATTATAAAACAAAAGTCAAAAAAAATATTTTCGGACAACGATACTATGGCATTCAAACTGCAACATCATATACTACTCTTAACAAGTTAAAGAAGAGTGCTTTGCATTACAATCAGCCATGACTGATTAACAAGAGTCTTATGAAAGAATGCTCTCTTCTAATGTGTTTCTTATCTAATCAGATCCACTCAGTATTGCCAGTCGTCAATGTCCCCTGGGATTCCATGGTTCTAACTGTGCAAAACGTGAGTTTCATTTAGCATTCTTCGGGAAGTTGAGTGTCACCACTGAAGGTCAGATGCGAGTCATTCTTGTTCAGCGCCGCAAGTAACAATATTCCAGCTATGCCACGACTACTTCCAAATGGAAGGGTCTGGATGAACATTGAGTCGGTTAGGTCGATCACTTTCTGTGCTGGAAATTAGACGCCTAGCTCCACACCAAAAACTGTGATAGAAATACTGAGAAACATATGTTACATTTTTACCACTTTCCGAAAGCCATTGTCTATTCATATCACGCCAAGTACGTGATCTAGACAACCAGTTTTCGGACTTCCTTTTTTTCGGTAGTCTCGGTGCCTGAATGGGTTAGGTTGATCACTTTCTGTGCTGGAAATTTTACGCTAACTCCACACCAAAAACTGTGATAGAAACATATGTTACATTTGACCACTTTCTAAAAGGCATGGTCTGTTAACTATGGTTGTACATTTTCATATATAACAATGGCAACATCATGTTGACGCTGTCAATGAATCAAGTAAGCATATAAGTAAGTTATTTAATGAAAGCAAATTTACATACACGACATAGACATAACCAAATCAGCCCACCAGGTAAAGTGTTCGCTCGTCACGCCGAAGAACTGGGTTCATTTTCACATATGGGTACCATGCGTGAAGCCCAGTTCTAGTGTTCCCTGCCTTGATATTGCTGGAATATTGCTAAAGCAGGGTAAAACCTTACTCATTCACTCAGTCTTTTTTTCACGAACACCTTTTCTCACTGTTATTCGTATTTGAGGACGATTTGTAGTTTCCATTTTTATGAGACATGATGGAATATCTCAATGTATGACGCTTTCAGAAAATATAGCCTTCCATCAAACTACTTACCAAAGCAGCACATATGAAGATCACAAGGCCAGTTTGGTCGTTGATGGAAATACCAACACTGATATCGACGACGGAAAATCGTGTTCCCTGACAGGTGATCACAACCCAAGCTTCTGGTCTGTGTCGCTGAGGAAGCCTGTGAAAATCATTCAGATTACTCTGTATCTTCGAAATAAGTGTGAGTATTAATGATCTGTGTTGTTGATGTTGTTATATAACGCCGCAATATTCCAGCCATATGGCAGCGGTCTGCAAATAATTGAGTCTGGACCATACAGTCTAGTGATTGACATCATGACCATCATCCACGCAATTGGGATCGATGACATGCAACAACCAAGTCAGCGATGTACGATGTCAGGTAATCAACCATGTCACTGAATCGGACCACCTGATCCATTTAGTTTTAATCAATTGTGTGTCACATGACACAAGCGACTTTATACAGTATCTCCCTCTCATTATTGTTGGTTGGTTGGTTTGTTGTTTAACGCCGTACTCAGCTATTTCAGTTATATGACGGCGGTCTGTAAATAATCGAGTCTGGACCAGACAACCCAGTGATTAATATCATGAGCATCGATCCACGCAATTGGGATCGATGACATGCATCAACCAAGTCAGCGAGCCTGGCCACCCGATCCCGTTAGTCGCCTTTTACGACAAGCATAGTCGCCTTTTACGGCAAGCATGGGTTGCTGAAGACCTATTCTATCCCGGATCTTCACGGGTCTCTCATTATTGTAGCGATATGTCTATTATGACGGTAATATTAGAAGGCGTCTAATAAAATTCATAACAATATACTTTAATTATATTTATGAATAGGATGCGTGACTACTTTATTCGTTCATATTCCTCCATCTGGTAAAGTATGCCTTCCCTTTAGATAGGTAGAACTGATTTTGTGATTTTTAAAGGTGGGGTTTAGATGATGTGTCGCATGTATCACTGCTTTCGGGTATACGAACCTTGCAGATGCCCAGAGGTACAGCAACATGGTGGTGTTAGTGGACAATGTAGCCTGTCAGAAGGTATTTGTACAAGGCACCGGAACTCAGGATCCCACAAGGCCAAATCCCGTGAATGTCAGCTGTCTGTCACCTCTGGTCGGCAGGAATGTTTCAATACACGTTGACAGTTCTTTCTTTTCTTTATGTGAAGTACAAATATGGGGTAGGTGTTAGCAGTAGTTCATTTAATTACTTTCCTATAATGGGGCACGAGAAACATATATAACGTTCACCATATTTCTGACATAAATTCTCGATAAAATATGCTGCGAAGTCTAAATACAAAAATATATAATTGCAAGCTGCATTTAAGTCGATGTTTGACATGTCACTGTCTTGCTCTGAACACCATTGTAGGTCATGAAAACAGAGGCAGTGTTACCTGAATCTGTGATTTCTTCATTAAGCCGTAAACACTGGTGTTGGTTTTTACTTGTTCTTACAGATTGTATTGATGAATGGTTTGGTTCGGACTGTGAACGTCCATGTCATTGCCTGCCAGGTTGCAATGTTTGTGACAAAGTGACAGGCTTCTGTACATGTGGACGTGACATCGGGTGGCAGGGAATCGGATGTCACACAGGTACATATATATGTTCATTTGTGTGTTGCTTTACCCTATCAAATGTAGCCACCTTTTTTGTTAGGCAAAGATCATTGGGAGTGAAGGTCAACCCGGAATCCCCATGAAGGCACAGGCACACCTCCCAAGATTTTTATACAAAGAGATACGAAACAATTATATGACTATGGGGTTTTTAAGGTTCATGCTGTATATCTTGCATACTATATCGAAATAGATATTTTTTTGAATACCAAGAAGACATTTGTTTCATTCAGAATGTGCCAGGTACAGCTATGGCAACAGATGTTCCTCCCAATGCGGTCACTGCAAGAACTCTGCGCCATGTCATCATATTACTGGTGTGTGTCCTCAAGGATGTGACGCAGGGTGGAAGATGGATACATGTGATGAAGGTATGGTTACATCGGTTCTATATTTTGTATAACATATAAATGAAGAAATCCTTTCTATTATCATAAGAAATCTCAGGACTGCAATGTTAGCCGTATGAATCTATTTACCGCTGGATGAACAAAGGCATACTTCCAATAAAGTCACTTGCCTTAGGTGATACCACATGTCACATATGCTTCAGTGTGGGGCAGGACGGAAGCCCTAGAAACACCGTCACCCATCCTCCTACTCAAGGATTAACATTGCATAACCTCGCCTGATTGTGACTTGTGTGTCGAACCCGGGCTTTTGGCGTGACGAGAGAATCATTTGAGTATTAAACTATAACGCCCCCCGTATATAGCTCTTATAAGTTCGTAACAGTGCCTGTTAACGAATCGAAAAGCCCCTACATTATGTTAATGTATAATAGGGAATGTTTTGATATATACCTTTGAATTCCAAAAAGATGTTTGATTTTCAGTGATCAATTGTAACTCATATAACTTCCATTACTAATTTGCCTGAAATGGAATATGTTTCGGCAGATAATCGAAATTGATTGTTCTCTAGCGTTGACGTTCTGTTTCATACAGAATGTGCCAGGTACAACTATGGCAACAACTGTTCCCAACAATGCGGTCACTGCAAGAACTCTGCGCCATGTCACCATGTTACTGGTGTGTGTCCTCAAGGGTGTGACGCAGGGTGGAAGATGGATACATGTGATGAAGGTATGGTTACATCGTTTCTTTATTTTGTATAACATATAAATGAAGAAATCCTTTCTATTATCATAAGAAATCTCAGGACTGCAATGTTAGCCGTATGAATCTATTCACCGCTGGATGAACAAAGGCATACTTCCAATAAAGTCACTTGCCTTAGGTGATACCACATGTCACATATGCTTCAGTGTGGGGCAGGACGGAAGCCCTAGAAACACCGTCACCCATCCTCCTACTCAAGGATTAACATTGCATAACCTCGCCTGATTGTGACTTGTGTGTCGAACCCGGGCTTTTGGCGTGACGAGAGAATAATTTAAGTATTAAACTATAACGCCCCCCGTATATAGCTCTTATAAGTTCGTAACAGTGCCTGTTAACGAATCGAAAAGCCCCTACATTATGTTAATGTATAATAGGGAATGTTTTGATATATACCTTTGAATTCCAAAAAGATGTTTGATTTTCAGTGATCAATTGTAACTCATATACATTCCATTACTAATTTGCCTGAAATGGAATATGTTTCGGCAGATAATCGAAATTGATTGTTCTCTAGCGTTGACGTTCTGTTTCATACAGAATGTGCCAGGTACAACTATGGCAACAACTGTTCCCAACAATGCGGTCACTGCAAGAACTCTGCGCCATGTCACCATATTACTGGTGTGTGTCCTCAAGGGTGTGACGCAGGGTGGAAGATGGATACATGTGATGAAGGTATGTATATATCGGTTCTATATTTTGTATAACATATAAATGAAGAATTCCTTCCATAATCATAAGAAATCTCTGAGAATGAAACCTAAACCACATGAATCTATCTATTGCTGGGTGAACAAAGGCATACTTCCAATAACGTCAAGTGCTTTGGGAAATGTCAAATGTGCTTCAAGGTGGGGCAGGACCGAAGCCCTAGAAACACCGTCACCCATCCTCCTACTTACCCCGATCAGCATTGCTCAACATGCAACTATTGTCGGACGATAGTTTGCGCCGCGACCCCCGGACCCAGGGAATACGTGCCCTCTAGGTCAGGCTGCACGCCACGTAAGTAAAAGCTGGTGAAGGTGTTTTGCGAGACCAACTGACAACTGGAAACTACTACATGAAGCGAGACTCGTGGCTAGGATTCTGATTTCGTGAACTGAGCATGATCCGAGCCGTGGCGTGGAGTTCTGAGCCTGTGTATAACTTTGTGCAACTGTGGCTTTCATCCATCATGCTAAAGTAGCCTTGGTGATGTCCTTGTTTGAGTTGGTCTTACAGGATAGAAAGAGTCTCCTCCGATGGCGTGTATGTGGATCTGTAGCCGAGAGATAAAACTTGAGAGCTCTGGTGGGACATAAAAGTCTGTCTGGGTGATCCACTGTTGGTGCTAATGCAGGGATTGTATAGTGTCTATGACCCAACGGTCCCATTGTGGTAGATTGGTTCCTGGCTACGACGTCAGGGAGCGAGTTTATAGTTATGGAAGTCCAGCGTTGATCATGGATAAGACTAGAATAGTCTAAGGCATGTAACTTCGAAACTCTTGCTGCTGTAGCCATAGTTAGTCGATGTTTTCCTGCCATTTTGAAGTAGGGTAGCCTTCACCATGGGTTCGTAAGGTTCCGTTAACAGTGCCGATAATACCACAGATAGGTTCCACATTGGGAAGATACGAGGGCTCTTAATATGTTCTTGTAGAAAGGATTGCACTAATCTTTTGAGGATGGGATGGTTTCCATTAGATAATCCATCATGTTGAAGTACAGAATGAAGGGCTGATCTGTAACCTTCGAATTCTACCGTCCTGTATCTGAATTTAGTGTCTTGACGTAGTTGAAGAAGGAAGTCCGCTATCATAGGGATTGAGAAAGCATTATCAATAATCCCTAGTCGTCTTCTCCACTGGACAAACTTGTCCCATCTGTTGTAGCATAAAAGGAAGGATGAAGGTCGCCACAATCTTGCCACAGCTTCCGAGGCAAGCTCAGAGTATCCGGATGTTTGCATCTTCCGCGTGATAACTTCCAGGCGGCGAGATGTAAGCTGGGCAGATTTTCGTGGAATATGCTGGACTTGGGCTGTCGTAGCAGATCTTGACGAAGTGGTAACTGTATGGGTTCCTCCATTAGTAGTCTGGGGAACCACGACCTGCGCGGCTATACTGGAGTTATCAGTATCATTACGCTATCCGTCTCCTCCACCTTGTGGATGCCTTTGTCTTGGAGAGACCATGGTTGGAATGCGTAGCCAAACAGATTCGGCAAATCCATCAAAAGTTATCCAGTTACCCATATCTTGGTTATCCAGCTAAAGGTCTGTGGATGTAATGTCCATACTGATGCCACTGTTCTCCCCCGACGTGAGAGGCAGTCGGCCAGTGTGTTCCCGGGTATGTGTCTCGCTTCCATCCGGCAGTTGAAAGAGTCTGCCAAGGCAAACAATGGTGTAGTCTCCGTCACTAGGGAGTTGGATCTGGTTCCTCCCTGCTTCTGAATAAAGGCCACTACTGTGGTACACAGCTATGAGAACTGATGATAGATGAAGTTGTGTTCTCCATTCCAGGTTGGCGTAATATATGGCCTTCATTTCCCTGCAGTTGATATGAAGGTTCTTCTCCTCTGTGTTCCACGATCCCTGTACTGCGAGATCGTCCATATGAGCTCCCCATCCCGAATCTGACACGTCTGTGAATAGATGATGTTCTTGTGTCGGATAAGTCAGAGGGATGCCACTCATCACACGTTTTCTGTGATTCCACCAATGGAGGTCTTGTAGCAAATTGGGAGGTAACTGAGAGTGGACTTCTAGGCCCTTCCATCGTATAGTTGACCCATGTCTGTAGAGGACGTAGCGTCAGTCTTCCTCTGAAGGTCATATCCTGTAGATATTTTAAGTTGCCTAGCAGAGGCATCCACCACCTCAGCGACTTGCTGGGTTGACTTGAGATTGATTGGATCATCTTTATAGTCTTGTCGAATCGATCCTCTGGTGGACATAGATATTTCCTGTCTAGCTGGAGTCTTGCTCCGATGTATAAAATGTATTGGACCAGAGTGATCTCTGACTTGGCTCCGGTCAGGTGAAATCTTCGACCCACGGTGTGTGTGTTCAGGCTCGGATGTTTCCTGAAGTGTAGCTTGTAACCGTGAGCCAGGACGTCTAGAATTCAGTGGTTGGGCGTACTTGCTTCCAGTTTTCGGCGTATGACAGAAGGCGCCCTCCCAGTGGGCCCGGAGTTAGCGTTATGTTGAAAGACGGTAGGCGTAGATTGCAATCCATAGACGTAACCAGGTCGAAAGGGTCTATAACGTCAGAGGGGGGTAAGGAAGTCAGAATTGTCTTTCCCCTCTGCCGCTTAAACTTCCGTTGCAATTATATCCCCGTTTCTTGTAGTCTGGCTGGCGAAAAGATTCTTGCGAAGCTTGTGGCTTGTTGTACATGTACTTCCGCCTCGGTTGGAACGAATCCTTCCCGGATGGACAAACTTCTTCTCAGGAGGCTGCTTGGACGCAGATGACTTATGGTCCAAGGGTCGCTTGTGCGAATGTGATGATTCATGAGCCCTCGCCGCAAGATCTATGACACGCTCGGCTTTATATTGTTTCACTTCATCTATCACATTTCCAAGTTTCCCGTTGAAAGTTGTGGTCGCTGATATCGGTTGTGACGTCATGAACTTCTTTGTCTGGCTAGATACGGCCCTTGACCTAATCTGGGTAAGGAGCTGGTGTCGATGTAGTCTCTGTTACTGTGACGAAGTCCAGACTTGGGATGAGAGTAAATCTTCCTGCATCTTGACGCTCGAGTCAAGGAGGCTGTGGATTAGTCCGACTTGATCGGTACTAATGGTCATAGGTGTTTCCGGCGCAATTCCTTCATGGGATGGTTGTAGCAGCGGTATGATGTGTCTAATTCCGGCGACGAACCAATTTAAATATACCCCGATATCCATGTTGTATCTGGCAACCGATGCTGAATTCTTGAAATGTGATGCTGATAACGTAACGTTCACGTCGGGATTGTTCACTAATTTGTAGAAATTTTCATCCAAACTTGGGAACTCTGGAAGTGCAGCATCGTGCGTCTTGTATAACTTCCGTTTCATAGGTGGAACAGGTAGGCGTTCATCGTGCTTGAGCACATTGCCTGCGTAACTGGGCCAAGGTAATGTCTGATGAATATGCTGAGATGGAGCAGGCGCATGACTCCTACGTATTCGGGCATCTAGGGTGGTGAATCTTCTGTCACATGTGGCGGAAGTGGAGGCATAAGGTGGTAAAGCTCTTCAATAAGTTCCACAAAAGTGTTGCCTTCGCTTTAATCTCGTTTGGGTGAGTTATCAATCTCCTCAAAACCCTCTGATTCCGCCTCTGAGTAGCCTTGGGTATAATCGCATCCCTCCGCTTCTGCCCCGTAGGGCTCCTCATCCTCCGGTGACCATGATTCCGGTATGATCTGTCTCCATGTGGCTTGTAGCCCGTGGGTCACGCTAGGTGTCCTCTCGGCTGGCTGGATGACTGGTCCATGGGTTGATGACCATGAGCCACGCCGTGGCCCATGGCCTGGTCGTGGTCCGTGGGCTGGCCGTGTGGCTGAGCTTGTTGATCTTGTGTACCCTGGCCCACGGCCGTTGACGAAGATCTGGTAGTCTTAGCCAGAGCTACCGTCGCGATCTTAGCGTCCATTTCCGACAGTATAGATTCAAGCAGCATGTCCTTCATCATATCCTGCTGTTCTCTCAGTAGTTGTTGAATGAGACTCAGTGAGTGAAGGAGATGATGGGGTCACTGGAGAGGGAGGCGCTTGGGTAGAAACTGATTTGTCAGTAATTATCTTGTCAACTTTCTTCTTCGGCGCCTCTCTCCGCTTGGCCTTTGTCGCGGCCTCTGACATCTTGGAGAAGATCTCTTCGGATGTGTGACTGCATTGTTCACATCTCTTCTCCATGGTGCAGGTCTTCCCTCTGCACTTCGTGCAGTTTATACGAGGATCTCCCGTGATCATAAATCGACCACACTTCTTACACCCGGCGATGGAGGGAGACTGCATGGCGACCTCACAAACCCAACACCAGCTATACTCACGTGCGTATTGTCTCTTCCAGCAGCGCTATTACTTTAAGTATATGTTTATTTATATGTCTGTTATTATAGCGATCTTATTAGAATAATCTTAGGTTAATCTGACCTACTACCAAGTGTTAGATTGTCACTAGTTCTATAGTAGGTACTGACTCGAGCACACACAAGAAAAAAAGTGGTAAGGCCGCAATTATGACGTCACGGCGTAGGTAGTTACGAGACTTCTTGGCGGCACCTAATTGTGTGATTGACAGTGAAGAGGACGTCTGTTGAAAATCTGAAAATCTTAGTTAGTGTGATTGAAGCCAAAATACAGGATTTATTGAGGATATGTAATAGAGGTAGAAGTTTCGTAAGATTTATAGTGTTTGTATGTTGCCTAACTGTAACGCCGAACCCAGCATCAGGATCAGACAATCTTGTGATCAATTTCATGAGCAACGATCCACGCCGTCGGGGTGGCACGCCACGTTGTCTACCAAATCACTTGTCAGAATAAGCACATACATAATTTTGTTGTGGAAGCTTACGAAACACTAACCTGTTAACAAATCGAAATGCTCATACACTGTGTTAATGTGTATATTAAGAGGACGCACCGTCGAAAGCAGATTCCTTGAGACACGCCCCTATTGAAGGCATAGTTGGTGGAAGTGGTGCTGCAGTTCTGGTCCTAGTCCTGGTAATTGTAGGAATCTGGATGGGGATCCGCTCAAAGAGGTACGATGCTGCTGTTTTACAATGTGGTTATGTTTTGAAGTACAGGAAATATATTCCCAAGAGGCAAATATATGATGAATTGTTATCAATTGTTGCCATTTGAAATGTCTTATTGTCATAATGGCCCCTTGTAAAGGTCAAGTATAATATGTTACCATATATTTACAATGTTTTGTCACATGTTTAAATGAGTATGTATTGTTTGTTACAAAAAGAAAGCGACAGAGACGCAGCAATCAGACACAGTTGCAGGAAAGTGTCACAATGTCGGATGTAACTTCTCACAGTAAGAGTAAATTCGTTTGCATTGTTAATTCTCCCAATTCTCTCTAATGTTGTCTCCGTTTATGGTTATGCACAGATATCCTCCTTAATAAACCAAACTATTAACTCAAAATAACACTGAATTTTCCATATGGTATTCTGGTAAATTAATAAATATCATTTTAAGCTCAAAACATATTAGACCGCCTCCATGGTCTAGTGGTAGAGATTCCGCCCGGAGAGCGGAAGGTCCGGGGTTCGATCCCAGACCGCCTCATACCATAAGACGTTAAAAGATGATACTTGTGTTACCCTGTCTGCTGCTCAGCATTAAGGGGCTTAAACAAGGACTGGTCGGCTCGGAGTCAGAATAGTGTGCAATAATCTTGTACGCGACGTTAAACCCCATTTCACCTAACCTCAAAATGTTTTGTTCATTGCAGGTGGAGGCCCTGTGTATGAGGCACTCTCACACACTTCGGATTCTAAGAACGTCTATGGCATAATTGAAAATAGTGACTGTTATCATAAAACTGCCTCGCATCCTGGTATAGGAGGGACATGCGATACTGCAGGTGACTATTACAACATTGACACACAAAACACAAGCAATATATACGAAAACATCACTGCCTAAACCAAAGCAGTATTGATACAGACATACATTGAATAGTGCATCGATGAAAAAACAGCCCTTTCTTAGCTTAGTAGGACATGCTTAGCCTTCTCTCCAACACCTGGTGTCGTCACTGATTGTCAGTGATCCTATTATATAATGTTTATTTTGCTTTTTTACGCCTTATGGATTCAGTTTCGAGGGATATTTGAGACTGGTTATTCTTGTCGTTGACGTTCTATAACTAAACTTCATATTCACCTGCAAAAAGGTTTAGCATAGCTTACAATATATTTCCATTTCAAATAGACATATTTGGAAATTGTATTTTTTATGAGTGAGTGAGTGAGTGAGTTTGGTTTTACGCCGCTTTTAACAGTATTCCAGTTATATCGCGGCGTGTCAGCTTAATGTGGGAGGAAAGCCCGAAGTGATGTAGGTCTCAGACGTTAACCACTTCGGTGAAACCCACGAGCACGGGTATGGTGCTGACAAACCTAGAAACATAACCGGGATTCGAATCCACAATCATAGGTTTCTGGCGTGCCCAAGGGACGCAACTCTGCACAGCAAATCGCGGCGCCTTAGACGACTGGGCCACCCGTGCCCCCCTTATTTTTTATGACAAAACATGTCCTACAAATTTTCATTCCCATACTGAAAAAGAGAAACAGATTGTCTGGTGACACGTTTAGTAACTGTACAATAGTATCCTGGGCAATAGCTACTTTATTACCCTTTCAATTTCTTCCTCGGCTTGTTTGTGTATCATATGATGTAACCCAGTACTTGCGACCATCTTGAAGTAACATACCATCTGACCAAGATGTATCGGTGATATTACCGGGTACTTGCGACAATCTGGAGGAACATACTGAATCCTGGTACCAATTGACCAAAAGGTATCGGTGGTATGACCCAGTACTTGCGACCATCTCGAGGAACATACAGTATCCTTGTGCCATCTGACCAAGAGGTATCGGTGGTATGACCCAGTACTTGCGACCATCTGGAGGAACATACAGTATCCTTGTATCAGCTGACCAAGAGGTATCGGTGGTATGACCCAGTACTTGCGACCATCTGGAGGAACATACAGTATCCTTGTGCCATCTGACCAAGAGTTATCCGTGGTATATTGGACAATTAGTACAATGAAATCAATGTCATGATGTAGATATGTCAAACTTGTACATGAAATTTGTGGGTAAATGAAAATGAAGAAGGGGTGAAACGTAACATTGTCCCAAGTGTATGCGTGTATGAACCGTTAGACCCGGATATTTCCAAATGTGGATGGCTTGGATTAAATTGGATCAATCTGACGAGTGAAATTAGTTTTGTTGGGAAAAAGAGTTTATTGGTTATGTCATTGTGAGTGATTTCCTTTTCAAATGCATAGAAATTATAAAATACATTGACAGGGTGTATTTTATTCGGGGTTCATGTTCTTACTGTTTTGTGAATATCGATTGTTTTATATTTTGATATTAACATTGATATCTATGTATTTGAAGCTCTAAGTCCATAACGCCTATTAAATGTTCAATATTTGAATATTTGTATTTGCAATACTGTATAATATTACTCGACATATTTATGTGTTACATATATACATAATGTATGTTGTGTATTAATATTTTGCTTTACAATTATAACTTGTTCTATTTGTTTCTTGGAATAATGTTAAAAGCGGCGTTAAACCCATCTCACTCACTCACTATCTGTCTTTAATAACTAAACTGAGCGTCATTTTAACACCTGATGATAACATTGCATTCAATCATAAATCATGGGTTGAGGTCTTTATGGTTCCGGTGCTCCCGCGTAGTTCGAACATTAAATTAAAGATTAATTAAATCTGACCCAAAATATTGTTTTCTAAAAAAACATATTGCATCATATTAATGGGATTAATTAGCTTTTCAAGAATTTTCAGGGACCATTTTATTTCTTTAGATAAAAGAAAATTGAATTAATATTTACAAGTAGTTGTACAAGTAACGCAATTACTTCATGCTTGTTCCAGGACCACGTCTGATGTGCGTTGTTGGATGCGTTTAGTGACTTGCAATGTGCATGCTATGCTTCAAAATCTACCCATGGTAGCTGTAACATCAAATACTATATTACTGCTGAGTCGAATTTCGATCTCATTCATACTAATTTAACATATTAGCTTTTGAAGATTCATCTGTATTTCCTTTTTCATATTGCAATATCAGTATTTCAGTATTTCATTACTGTTTTTTCTTATTTGACAATACAATGGTCCTTTCGCAAATGAGATCTTCTTTCCTATTACCTATCACTGGGTTATAATATGTATGTGAGGACTCAGGTTGCAAAAGGCGTTATATGAACAAGGATTCCGAGAAGAAATCTCAATCACATCTTAATCATGTTTATTTGAATATTTTAGATGTCAACGCCCAACGCTTTTCATCCGGGTCTGAAACATTCCGGAATCAAAGTAGGAAGGTTTGCGGAAACGTAACCTTTCATCTTCTGCATATCCTTAGACTCGCACATACACAACACAATCGCCAACAAGAAGGAAAACATAAAGGAACACTCACTCGTGAATCATAGTAACTCAGAGAATATCACGATAATTACCCTCATCCTTTTGTAATCTGCATTGCTAGTTCATATTGTTTCAATAAACATATACATGAACAATAATTTTATTATTATATATGTGTGTGTGTCATATGTGTAGTATCAAGTGTTTCGTGTGTATACTGTAAATCTGGAAATTAATGCGTCTCCAAATTAATACGACTGCTGACCCCCAGCCAAACATGCGACTCAATATCAATGCGACTCCCCCCACCCCAGTGGAATGATACATATCCTTACCGTGTTTTCCTAAATACAACACACTGTTTATATGTTTACTTTGTTCACTGTCATTAAGGAAGTTCAAAGGCAATAAAATAATTGAACCAACTGATTCACTTTTCACTGATTGGTATGCGGAGAAGGTGTCGACAACCGTGACACGAGTGGGTAGAATTCTTGACCCCAGCAGCGATAACTCACCGGATGCCCAAAGTGTAATTCCTATTCTTTAAAAGAAGGTCTGTAAATAATCAAAATCTGGACCAGAAAATCCAGTGATTAATATCATGAGCATTGATCCACGCAACTGGGATACGATGACATGCATCTGCCAAGTCAGCGAACCTGACAACCCGATCCCGTTAGTCGCCTCTCACGACAAGCATAGTCGACTTTTACGGCAAGCATGGGTTGCTGAAGACCAATAGATTTTTTTTATAAATAATTTTGGTTCCATTTCCAGGTACATTTTAACAAGTGCATAGAGTGGGAAGGTACATTTACAATCAAGGAAGAAGTCATAATAAAAAAACTATTGATTGAAGGCCTGTGTGTCATGTTTCAAGAAGACAATGATTTGACATCGATAAAATATTTTATGTACGCTTCATGACTATGAACAGAGAGAAGTCAGTTGCTTCCATTTCTTGTGATAACAACGGATATAGAAGATTGTGCTGCTGGGTATGTTACAAATTATAGACTGTTAGATATATTTTACCATCTTCGTATTAAGTTGTGTACATTGATATCTAATAGAGTACTACGTATTGAAAACGTCAACGCCCCAGAATAGCCAGTTCTGAATATCTTGAAAAAAAGGATTCCAAAGGGCGTAAGGGCAAAATAGTGGTGGTGAGTGAGTGAGTGAGTTTGGTTTAACGCCGCTTTTAACAGTATTCCAGTTATATCGCGGCGTGTCAGCTTAATGTGGGAGGAAAGCCCGAAGTGATGCAGGTCTCAGACGTTTACCACTTCGGTGAAACCCACGAGCACGGGTAAGGTGCTGACAAACCTAGAAACATAATCGGGGCGAACCGGGATTTGAACCCACAATCATAGGTTTCTGGCGTGCCCAAGGGACGCAACTCTGCACAGCGAATCGCGGCGCCTTAGACGACTGGGCCACCCGTGCCCCCGAATAGTGGTGGTAATTATATGAACGGATCACTGAAAATCAGTGATGTGACCAGGTGTTTGCGATGATCGTAAGCATGTCTTGTTCTACTTCTGCACCCGCCACTCACACAATTTGCATTAAACAATAGGTACGAGTAAGTGAGGATGTTGAAAGGGGGTGATGGTTTTGTTGACAAGCCACATGATTGTCCATTTCAGAAAATTTTTCGGAATGTCTACAATTAATGTTCTGGAATGGCCCTTACCGGGCATCTGATGGCGAAATCTTCACTGAAAGGCTTTGTCGTAAGCAATGTGCCTTTCCGTGAAATGTCAATAACATGTACGTGTACACGTTAGTATGCTTTACAAAGATATAACTTTAACTTGTGGCTTTGGAAGAACTTCAGTATTGACTTGGCACAGGCGCATATTGGCGTTCCCCATCATGCATCAGCTTCATCTGAAATAGCTTCTCTCCACGCTGAAGTAAAGAGAACACTGCTTCAGAAGTCATGTTCGAAAATCAATACAAGCGAGTCACTTTGATTGATACATTTGTCACAATCAGACGTATTAGAATCAAACACGTTTACAGCATCCTCTAATTGACGTATGATTTTGTTTCTTTTCAAATCATTGACCATTAGTGAATGTGTCCACGCGAACGTTGTGAAGCCACTCTGCAGAGGTACTCCCTAGACATTTACACACTATGTTCAGAAGTATGATGTATGAAATTTCTGCAACAACCAGGTCAAGTTATGATGAACGTTATGAAGTGAAGGCTTACTTTGTCTGGATTATCCGCTTCGCTTACGTTAGCGCGTTTCCTTATGAAAGGAAACAACACTCTATCATCAGCCAGTGGAGGGTATCTGTGCCCTGAAGTACAAAACAAATAAAGTGAGACATTGTGTAAATATGGAAGTCAACACCAGAGATTAACCAGTCTCTATTATACACCGAAACATAGTCCAAAGACCAAATAGCGGTAAAAATTATATGAATGGATCACTGAAAAATCAGTGATGACATCAGGTTCCCCTGCCCTTCCGGTAGCATCCGCTTCTCAAAACAGATGTTTATGGTGATCATGATCATTTTCTCAATCTTGCCACAGAATCACCGAATTCAACTATACATAACTGTATTTGGTCGCTCTGTCGAGTTTTATTCACATAATTTATTTTTATTGCTCAATGGAACAGTACGCTCATTTGAGTCATAAGAAATCTCTGCGGAGTCCATTGTCCCATTGTAATAGTCCGACTATTTGATGAGCATATCTTTATGGCTCACTCGCAAATAGTGATTATAACAGGTGTTCGAAATAAACCCATTAGAGAAGTTGTTTGCGAATAAACGTTTTCCAGGCCATTGTCTCACAATTCGATCAGAAGTCTGTGTTAAGTTGGTTGGTTGGTTGGTTGGTTGTTAAACGCCGCACTCAGCAATATTCCAGTTATATAACGGCGGTCTGTATATAATCCAGTCTTGACAAGACAATCCAGTGATCAATATCATGAGCATCGATCCATGCACTTGGGATCGATGACATGCATCAACCATGCCTGACCACCCGATCGCGTTAGTCGCCTCTTACGACAAGCAAAGTCGCCTTTAACGGCAAGCATGGGTTCCTGAAGACCTATTCTACCCCGATCTTGACGGGTCGTGTGAATGAGTGGTGCTGCCGGTGGTGCATGCTTTTCTTTTCGCGATCACCTGGTGTCATCACTGAAATTTCACTGATTATTCCCTGGCGCTGTTACAGCTCAACCTCCTGCACAATACTCACAACGTCGCAAACGACCGTACATCGTACAGTTCATAATATGAGGGGTGTTTGCATTTAGGTATTATCTGTACATGTAGATGTCATCTCACATCATTACTTTGCAATCTTGAACGCTACGTTAAATGAAAGCAACATTTTTATTTCTAAAAGTCCATTGTACGATTCCCACTATATCACCCCATCTCATTCCGTTGACGTGCTAAATGTCTGAGCCTTCATACTGGCTTCTTAATGATAATAAAAGTCGACCTACTTGTAGCCAAACTGACGACCAGTCCTACGACGAATGCCACAAACCATCCCATCAAGCCGTAGTAGAGGTAGGAGATGTTGTAGAGCGGGTTGTCACCAGAAGTCGTGGTGGAGCTGGGTAAATAAAATTGACACAATCTTTTCCATAATCATCACACAACTCTGTTGAGAGTTCGGCGACTATATGTACCGCAAACAAAGCATCCATCTTAACCCATGAGCAATAATGACACTGTGCCACTAAGTCCGTCCTCGATCATGCTCTTGTCTGGGCGGTAGTCAAAGCTTACGACATATTGCTTATTTTCCGTCTATAGTCTATTTTCCATCTACTTACCCTTCATGCACTCCTTATGACAAATCCTAAACTGATATATTTTTTATTAGTATTAATATTATTTACAGATTGAAATAAATAAATGCAGCAAAGAGGGTTTGGGTGCTCCTTTCCCCCTCTACACGCAGTCCAGACAACGAATAGGACTTCTCCCAGGAAGCACTGCACCTACCTGCTTTTACCCAGATTGTCAGAAGAGCTTTATTCATGGCAGCAAACCCTGGTACTCTCCCAATGTTAGACAACAGATTGGGAGGTACCAAACCTAAGGGTACCGAGAACAATGAGGAGTCGGACAACTTGGTAGTTGGGATGCAAGTGTGACATTTCGAAAGCGAGGTCCGCATATTTTCCATGTTTTTCCTGATTCTTGTCAATCACATTGGTGTCAAAAGGGACAGAAAATTTAATGATATTATAGATTTCACTGCATTTATCAAAAAGGACAAGATCAGGATTGTTGGCCTGGATAGGTCTAGGCTTATTACCAAAAAAATGGTATTTGTAATTGTCCATGATGCCCTCTGCATTTCAACTAACGAGAAAATAATCGAAATTTCGAATATTTGAAACAAACTTGAAATAACATGAAAATAATCGAAGTTCGAAGTAACAAGAAAAACTCGAAATTTCGAATAAATAATTGATAACGAGAAAATAATCGAGCTAACGAGAAAAAAATGAATTTTCGAGGGTTTTTTAAACAAATTTGAAATGACGAGAAAATAATCGAAATGAAGTCTCAGATAAAAAAATCGAAATAAAGAGAAAATAATTGAAATTTCAAGAAAATAATCGAAATAACGAGGGGAAAACCCGAAATTTTGAGGAAATAATTGAAATTACGAGAAAATAATCGAATTAAAGAGACAAAAAAAACTCAAAATGACGAGTTTTTTAAGTAAACCTTAAAAAACGAGGAAATAATCGAAATTTCGAGTTTATGAAATAAACTTGAAATAAGGAGAAAATAATCGAAGTAATGAGAAAAAAATGAAATGAGAAAAATGAGGTTGTTTTAAATAAACTTGAAATAATGAGAAAATTGAAATTTCGAAAAAATAATCAAAATAACGAGAGAGAAAACGTAATTTCGAGGAAATAAATGAAATAACGAGAATTATCGAAATAACGAGAGAAAATAAAGAATTTTTGGGGAAATGATTGAAATAACGAGAATAAAACGAAATTTCGAGGAAATAATTGAAATAACGAGAAAATAATCGAATTAAAGAGACAAAAAAAATCGAAATGGCGAGGTTTTGAAGTAAACTTTTTTAAAAATGAGAAAATAATCGAAGAAACCAGAAAATGAATGAAACAATGAGAAAATAACGAAGTAAAATAACGAAGAAATTAATGAGTAATTTCGAGTTGCTAAAATAAACGTGAAAATAATCGAAATTAAAAGTTTTTGAAATAACGAAAAAATAATCGAAATAATCGAGGTAACGAGAATATAATCAAAATTTCGAACTTTTTAAATAAACTTGAAATAATGAGAAATTAATCGAAGCAGCGAGAAAAGAATCGAAATTTCGAGAAAATAATTGAAATTACGGGAAAATAATCGAAGCAACGAGAAAAAGATCGAAATTTCGAGAAAAATATTGAAATAACGAGAAAATAAAATAAAATTATGGTACCAAAGTGGCATAATTAGGCTTTCGTACTTTCTTTCAAATGTATTTGAGAATAGTGGAATTAATACCATGTTGATTGTCAAAAAGTCCATGGACTGCAATCTTGGTAAAGAACCAAGTTCAATTCTGTCAAAACATTTGATTTTTCAACTTTGTACAACACTGTCCCACATCACAAACGAAAGGGAAAACGTGGTAAACACAGATACAGTTGCGTATCTATCTTCAGAGGTTCCTGATAATTTGTCAAAAATGAAAGCAAATGCCATCCGAAGTTTAAGAAAACAATGTGGAATGCTGGACTTCTTCTTTGATAACATCTATATTACATTTGGGGATAAGACATTTAGGCAAGAAGTAGGCATCCCCCATGGGCACCAACTGTGCTCCCCTTCTTTCGGATCTGTTTCTTTATGTATATGAATCGGAATTTCTGCTCGGATTGTCAAAGTCAAAACAAAGTAATTTGGCCAAGAAGTTAAACTTAATCTTCAGGTTAATCGATGATATCGTTCAATAACCATCAAATGGATGCAAGCTCCATTTACCATGATTTCAAAGAACGTACCAACGACTCTTGTTCAGAAGTTATTTGATCAAGGTTTCAGCATTCAAGGCCTCAGTTAAGCTTTCAAAAAGTTTTAAGGCAGACATCTGGAGGACATTTCCAAATTTGACGCATCAGTGACAAAAATGATGTCCGATGCAAGTCCTATTTTGACATGCAACATATGTTCCTGTGTTGTTGTTTTTTCATGTGAATACTTGACTTGCCTTTGCATGTGTTTGTGATGGATGCCACCGATGGAGCAGGATATGCTCATCTTTTCGTGAACACCTGGTATCACCACTATTTGATAGTGGTTCATAAACACATGGTCATGAAAAAGTCGGAATCGTACAATCGGCTCTGGTTTTAGCAGAGATTTCTTATGAATATGGAAAGGGTTTTGTCGCTTTTATATTTTGATTTTAATACAGATTTTTATCACAAAAGTGTTTTACTGCTAAACTGTCTTTTCAGCCTAGACCAGAGGATCTTCAATTGTATTATTCCATAATAGAATGTGGTAATGCGGTTATTTGAACTGATTTTGTTTGACGGGACCTTTCAATGGTGGTCCAGGCAATGGTTGATGAATAATCTGCGGTACTCGATATGTCCTCCATCTTAAAGACCTGCATGTTTGTCCCAGTCCTGTTGACGTCCAAAACCATACATGAGTTACCAGGGACTGGTGGTAGTGGTACAGGTCTTCGTCCGTACAGGACGCCGCCGATAGTGATCCACGCGTTCAACACTAGAGACAGCAACACCCCAGATGCAGCCCCCTGTGAGAAAGACAGTACATGACGTATATCCCACAGCATCAGTATTGACATCTTTCTGACAAACGTTGATTTATTTATATACTTCGCACAACAGGATTATATATACCATTTTAGGACGCTGTGTACAAGTCATACCCATCTCAGGTGGTTAACCGTACATAACTTCTACTGATTGTTTTTAATTTGTATTTAGTTGAAACTGGATAGATTACAAATTCTGTGTCGTTTTTGTGTCGAAATATGTTTGAAAACAGGCACAAATCAACTATCACATTATTAAATATGTTTTTGAAGTTCTTGGTTCTATTTGGTTGTTTAAGAGTATAAAAACTAAAATAACATTGCATAAATATCAAAATTCACAGATGTGGTTTCTTAATGACCAGAATGTGTAGACGTCTGAGACTCGAAAATAGGGCTCTCTTCCACGACGAATGATTACTTGAACCTCCCTGGAGTTGTGTCAACCAGTCTTCTTCTAAACCAGTGATTCTGCTGCATTGCTAGTGTTGCTCAGAGCGAATGCCACTCATATTCTCGTGTATTTGTTCGAGTTGTCCAAGTATATCGCTAGATTCCATTGCGACCATGCCATTGAAATGTACTTAATAAAGATGCATGTGGATATCCTTACCCACTGCAAGTATTTGTCGTTTTTTTATGGCATAATAGAAGTTACTTTGTTCCGTATGACTATAGTTATTCGTGACAATCAAAATTAAAATAACATCCCTTAAATTTCACATTTCGCGTTTTCTTAATTCCTAAAATGTGCTGATGTCTGAGACAAATAGACAGACACCCGACGCAAAACGACTTAATATTTTCAAGATCAATCTAATTTTGTAGGTGAGCCATTTGAATTGTGTTTACAAATTAACCTTTTAATTATCCGATTTATTTGAACAAAAATAATTTTCGGAATATACATCTGGAACAAATGTACTTAAAGAGGGATGTGCTCCGTGATCTGTAGCTCATTTCGAGCCAAGTTCAAGACATTGTAACAAGAGCCATGTGTAACACTGAGTCACTGGCTCTGTGTAATTAGAGTAGCTAATTACCCGCGAGCCTCATCTGCGTCCTAAAATCTGGGTTTTTCATAACGAATACAATTTGCTAGGACTGTCCGTTGCACAATCCCCCGTTAAAGGGTGCTTGATAACGATTTGTTTGTTTGTTTGTTTGTTTGTTGTTTAACGCCGCAATCAGCAATATTCCAGCTATATAACGTCAGTCTGTAAATAATCGAATCTGGGCCAGACCATCCAGTTATTGACAACATGAGCATCGATCCACGCAATTGGGACTGATGACATGCATCAACCAAGTCAGCGAACCTGACCACCCGATCCCGTTAGTCGCCTCTTACGACAAGCATAGTCGCCTTTTACGGCAAGCATGTGTTGCCGAAGACCTATTCTACCCCGGATCTACACGGGCCTTGACAGCCATTATCACGGACTGTTGCTATTGCCTTTTCCATTTGTTCATGTGTATTATGTGTTTAGTTTGATAAATCCAGTACTTACCAGTTTGTTGGCCCAGGGAACCATTGCAGATAGAAAGAAAATACCCACTAGTGGCCCAGCACAGGCCCCAACCAATGCAACGGCGGCCTAAAGAACGGCAACATTCTAGGTTAGGCATTCTATCGTAAAATTCGTAATATTTTCATCATGACGTTTATATATATATATATATATATATATATATATATATATATATATATATATATATATATATATAGTTAGTATCATGTAAATACTTTTATAATGACATATGGCAATACAAATAGCAACAAATATTCCTCGAATTCATAAAAGCATTATAAGTTTATTTCATTTCATTTCATTTCTAATGGCAAACATACTGTGTCAATGCTATGAAATTTCTAAAAACATATGTACGTTATTTGTGCTGGAATATACTTCAATGACAGTACCTGAATGACGGTACCAGGAAAAGAATGCGCAAGGAAGCTTAACCCAACGGAAATACATCCGAAGAAGAACACTGTAACAAAAATAAGTAAACTCGGTCATGTGCAATTTCGGTGAGGGGAAATGGGTACGTGCGTGCGTGCGTGCGTGCGTGCGTGCGTGCGTGCGTGTGCATGTGTGTGTGTGTGTGTGTGTGCGTGTGCGTGTGCGTGTGTGTGTGTGTGTGTGTGTGCATGTGCGTGCGTGTGTGTGCGTGTGTGTGTGTGTGTGTGTGTGTGTGTGTGTGTGTGTGTGTGTGTGTGTGTGTGTGTGTGTGTGTGTGTGTGTGTGTGTGTGTATCTATCTGTACTGGTCCGGATTAACGTCGGTTTTATCGACCAGACCACGGATGGGTCTATTGTCCTCTGTGTGTAGCCTCGTGGTGATTTATCATGTTGTAACGGCTATTATGCGACATATTATAAGAGATACAATAATATTTCCTTTTTGGTTTGTTTGCTGTTTAACGCCGCACTCAGCAATATTCCAGCTATATGACGGCTCCCTGGACAAGACAATCCAGTGATTGATATTCTAAACACTAATCCGGGGAATGAGGTCACGCCAACAACCAATTCACCCAGCACCAATTCATTTGGTCGCCTTTTTCTATAAGCATATGTTTCTGGGAACCTTATCTAAGCTGGAACCCCGCGGGGGCAACACAACAATGTCAAAAAAACGTCTGATTGGTCTATTTGTATTGTGTTTTCTGCCATAAGTGTATTGCCAAGCATTTTGTAACTACAAACTTCTCGAAAAACACGAAAATATTATTTGTCTATAAATATCAGCTTCGGCGGAGATGCGGCCGTCAAACAGCGGGTATTTTAATCTGAGGTGGTTATTGCGATTTGATACCTCTAACTGATGCATTAGAATTGTGTAATTCATAGTAAAATAGTTCTTTACTACCTGATGTTTTGGCAACAAGGAGTTTAACCTCCTCTGTTGTTGAGTATTTGTCAAACAGCGGCTGCAGGAGATCCTCTACAGTGTTAGTGGCAAGGCCGTTGAGGATTGAAGAGAATGTACTGTCAATGATAATGATAATACAGTATCAAAATGCATTCAAAATAGACGGTGTCTGTGGGGGTGTGTGTGTGTAATAATGACGCATAAAACGCTCACACATAAGTATTTAGGGAAATCATTTTTGAACATTTATATACCTTTCATCGCAAAATAAATAGATGTTAAATATGCACAGACTTGGTTGATTGTCTGTACACTCCTATTATTAACCACTAGTTTGTCTTGCATAGACGCGAATATCTGTTATGCCGCCGTGATATAGCTGTATATAGACTGCGATGTGAAACAACATTCACTTCCTGTTCACTGGACCCGTGAAGATCCGGGGTAGAATAGGTCTTCAGCAACCCAATGCTTGCCGTATAAGGCGACTATGCTTGTCGTAAAAGGCGACTAACGGGATCGGGTGGTCAGGCTCGCTGACTTGGTTGATACATGTCATCGATCCCAATTGCGTGGATCGATGCTCATGATATTAATCACAGGATTGTCTGGTCCAGACTCGATTATTTACAGACCGCCGTCATATAGCTGGAATATTGCTGAGTGCGGCGTTAAACAACAAACCAACCAACCAACAACCAACCAACTGTTCACTGGTAACAGACACATGCATTACCTGAGCGAAGCACTGAGTAAGGTGGCAAGGAAGAGGCCTGGCATACCAGGGATGTCCTGGAAGATTTCCATGATGAAGTAGGGCAGCAGCTGAAGCATGTTATATATGCATGAGACATACTCGTTAAACACTGAATGGTTGGGACCCCATTCTTCATGCGCAAGTGCATCTTTGTCTAGCTTGTCTTGTATAAGATAATGGAATTTAGTTGGAGCTGTAAGTGATATCCGAATCATAGTTTTGTTCTCTTTATAGTGCACGTTCAAAGAGATACCTTGTGGCGAGCGACTGTAAACTGCTGATGTGGCAAAAGGAAAAATATGCACATTTTTTCATTTATGAAATAATCATCTGACCCTCGTAAACATATAAGATATACGTCAAACAGTACAAGGCCATTGATGACATTCAAATGTTGCATTCAAGCAGTAAAAAATTGCAGTTTGAAATCAGACTATTGAAAACTGCTTTAACGATATGCACAAAATAATTGTATTCTTTTGGGTTATGAATAGAAACTAAAGTAATCTGCCTAATCACAAAGAGCATCCATAATGGCGTGTAAGATGTGGCATGGACGCTCATCCGTATCGCAAAATGATTTACCTGGTTTTTGTTCTTGATGTAGCCACCTTTGAGTGGGTCGCACATATTCACTGTGTAGAAAGCGTAGGCCACAAGTCCCATGAAGCACATTGTCAGTGTGTAGGTGGAATGGCTAAAGATGTTGATCGCGTATGCCCTTCAACAAAATATTTAGGAGAACGCAATACATGAGCTAGAACAATAGTGTTCACGGTGAATTACTGGTTTTATCAGGGCCTCACACCTAGAGCAAACGAGTCTATGGTACAGGTGAGGTGCAATGGTGTTTAACATCGCGTTCAATAGTATATGGTAAAGATCACACAGGCGCAACGATTACTATGTGGAACAGAGAGCACAGTGGCGAATGACGAACAGTGGATATATCTAAGCTTAATGTAAAAAGGGTCTTTCATGTTATGAGAAATATGTATTCCCGCCCCATCAACTCCAGAATCAAAGATCACAAAACCTCAACCATCAAACCAGACAGCAAATCAGCCATCTTGGACGATATCAGCAACTGCCCTAATCACAACAACAACTGGGACAACGTCCAAAACCTCTCCAACGACTTCCATGAGTTCACTAAAAGAAAAATAACAGAAGCCGTCCACATTCGCCGCCGCTATTTCATCCCATTCGCCTACTATGAACTCACTAAGCAATAATCACTGCACCTATATGGCTTCATGTCCCATTGGCTTCCATCTTTGTGTTCTCTGTCCATCATGTTGTGACAGTATTATCCTTCTGATGTCATTACTTACTCACGTTATCCCACTCATGTATGTAATTGTTGTTACTGTTAATCCACTACTGTTAATCATCCATTATAAATATTCTGTACAATATTCCTCATCAGTCTTGCTTGACAAGGGTATAAGGATCTATACCAAAACGTCGCCTTTACAGTATTTATGAAGTTGTTATCCATAAATTGTGTCTACTTTGTCGCTGCTAAATGGACATACATAATACAGAGTTAGCACACAGACCAACAACGTAGGTTTGGATTGATTGCAATCCATTTACAATCTGTCAAATGACTCGAGGTATCATCGTGAAATCAACCAAGTAGTGTTAGAATTGCTTCAATGTAGAATCAATCGATGTTATCAATATTGAGGAGTCACTAGAATACTGCAAAATGGACCACTATCACATAAGAGTTACTTAGAAGGGACATGAAACTAGTTTATGTGAGTCTCTCTGATATACATGTTAAAGTCCCAATACTAATCATTGGTTCCAGATCACGTCCTGAACAATCGAGGAGGAAAACCAGAACCTTGATTCATCGGAGAAAAGAATGAATCTGATACAAACATATCCACAATTGTGTGCATGTGTGGTTCTAACAGTTCCTTAGCACATTTACGGCTGTGAATGTATTTTCAACTGATTCCCAACACGAGTTACACACTTTAAAGCATTCAACGAACTGTTACAGCCTAGCCTTCTGACACAGTCTTCCAAGTACGACTTGTCCAAACCCAGCATCTATAGTCATAAAGCAAATATGGTCTACTGTGAAGTTAATATTCACTGAACTGTTCCAAGCCAGTTCAAATATTGTTCCCACGAAATAAAAAGAATTACATTTGTGCCTGTCTGGCAGTTGGCAAAGAAAAGACTCTCTGCATTGCTGATTGGTCGAACGTGAAGGCCATATAGGTAAATGTTCCTCCCACAAGGAGGCCCCAGAAGGAGTGTCGGACTCGAGGATCGAGGCTAAAGCTAAAATATTGAAAAATAACATGACTTAGTGCTATGAACAGGGTCTACAACCATGTTTATTCATAAGAGAACACACGCCGTTGTGGATATCAGCTTCTGGTTTATTGCATTTAACAACGTTTCGATGTAGATTCTTAAACCGTTACTCAAGCTGTGTTAGAATCTACATCAAGACATCGCTAAATGCAATAAACCAGAAATTGTTATCCATAAAGTTGTGTTTCTTATTTCCTCACCACCTACTAGAATGACATGTTTTTTTAATATTTATAATTACGTATACAGTCAAACCTAGCTGTGTCGAACTCGAATCCTCGGTTGTCTCGAACTCACCTTCCATTCCCTGCGAGTTCCTTCTATATGCATCATCATTCTCACTCTGATCTGTCGAACTGGATGTGTCAAATTCCGTGTTGTCTCAAACTCATTTGGGACTTTCGTGCATCCAAATTTAGAATAAAATTCCCCTGATTACTCGAACACGGTTTTGGTTAACATTATGCGAGTGAATCTATAATCATTATTATATATCATTATAATCTATTATTATCATGTACCTAGCGAAAGATGAAACCAAGACTGGATTACATGTTATAATCTCTCATAATTTGATGTTGGTTTATTTCGGAAATTCACTTTATTGGTTGTCTCGAACCCAGTATAATTCGAAACTGTTCCAGGTTCCCACGAGTTCGACACGAGGTTCGACTGTATGTTTCCATCTCATCAAACCAGTTTATTTCTGTTTTTAGCAAACACATTTTTTTTTAGATTTTGATTAAATTTCATAAATGAAACTTTTGCATCATATCATGTATTTTTAAACGTAATAACTATTGCAAAATGATCATGCTATATGACTGATGCAAATACATAGCTGTCTTCTGTTTCAGGCAATACTATATGTACTTACTCTATAGACGGAACACGGCCTCCTTGTACAGCGATCTCCCATGTTGGCCCAAACCCCCCGACAGCATACACACCCTTAACGTGATGACAACCGATATTATAATAGCATTATACAAGAAGCTCTAGATATCAAGAGGTTGCTGCGTTCGATCGTAACGATGATTAAAGTGTGTCAAGAGTGCGATTTGACTTTTGAGTTTGTGAACTCCGTAATATTCAATATTTAGTATTACTTCGTTAAAAAGGCAGCGCATTGACTCAATGCTCTTTTGCCAAGTCGCTGCATACTAAGCATATATCAACAGCAAAGACAGTGTAACTATGATAGTGTCAAACGTTTAATCGTTTTAACATTAAACCTGACTAGATGTACGTCTTGCGATGTGCATTAATTACACGACTAGGGTCACAACATGCTTCCACGTTATATTCAATGTATTCCAAACCAGCGACAATGATAATAACCTTGAACAGTGATGACAATATTCCAACAACCATTACGACACCTTGTAAACCATCGGCAGCAACCACTCCCCGTAGTCCACCCTAGAACGAAAGTAGGTAGATGACAAACACAAAGTAGATTTAGATAACAATTCTGACTACTGGTCCACGTTCACGACACTTATCACATATTATTCAACTCTATTATTGAGTACCTATACTGAAACCATCTGACAGACACCTTAATGCAAAGAAACTCTATTATCATATAATGTGTACGTTTGTCAGACGGGTAAAGCCAGCGGATAAAAACTGTATCCGATTGGGTCATTTACGACTAAATATGAAAATATTAAGTTAAAGTAGGTACTACTTTCAGTGTTTACAAACAAACATGGCGTCGCCCTTGTCTATCGGATATCGGAATTGAAAAATGGTGATCTGGACAAATTACTGGTATAATTTTATCATTTCCGAAATTATAGTCTTAAGATGCCAAAAAATCAGTGTCAAACAGGGGCGTCCCTGGTGCTTTCCATAAGTGTTGGCAACACTGGAACAAGTTAGCAGGGAATCTAGGATATCATCAGCTTGCGGCTTTCCCGAATTTTTAACAGTAACAGTGAGTTATATTTGTCCGAAATATATCCGAAATGTTACTTCGTTTCATCATGTTGATGTGTGTGTGTGTGTGTGTGTGTGTGTGTGTGTGTGTGTGTGTGTGTGTGTGTGTGTGTGTGTGTGTGTGTGTGTTAGGGGGGGGGGGGGGGGATCTGACGGTGTTTCCTCACGTTATGGCCTTGTAATAAGACCAGGCTCACATTCGTGGCGTGTCTTTGACTAGAGTCGCGTCCCCATGACAGATTGATTGCCGCGAAACGGATCGCTGACAAAGCATTTTGTTCCTCAACAAAACACCGCGGTGTAGACAAATGTCTAGGTGTCTTTGAAGTAATCATTCCAGTTTAATCACTGATCTTGTGACGAAATGTATTAATGCGTTCATTCCAGCAAACATTGCAATGTTCAAGTACGGTAATAATTAGTAGGAATATGAGAATACTTTTATCGATGATAGATTTTAAGAATGGCATTGGATGATAAAGACGTTATCACGTTTCCGTAAATATTTTTTTGTATTAGGAATATACAAGGTATTTAGAGTAGATAAAATGTATTCAAATACGCAAAAGCATGCTGAACTCACAATGGCAGTGAAGACTGTTCCAACCGTTCCCACCAGTAGGATAGAGGATATCAACGGAAGACCAGCGGCTTTCGTTAAAAAAGGGTTGGATTAAAACTTATAATGTTCAAGACATTATATGACATGTAGTTTTGTTACTATTATGATTCATAGCTTCATATGGGTGTCAATATGTCATTAATGTAATAATGATAACAAAGCAGTCAATTGTTCGATTTCAACAAAATGTATGCCATAAGCATGTGATTATGAATAACTATCTAGTAGTGATGACACCAAGTCTCCAGTGGGCGTGCTCTGCCCATGCAATAGACTTATATGTTTAAGACATTTTAACTTCACAGTGGATTCGTACAACCTTGATTTGACAATTCTGTATCATATACTATCTGCTCCACTTAGAAAAAGCCCCATGGAAATTCCGGGTTAGGAATGGTCCCAGGCAACCTAAGCTGGTCGTAAGATGCGACCAAATGAATGGGGTGGTAAGGTGCGATGTCTTGGTAGTTTGCGAGTAGTCGTACCCCGACGCGAAACGGATCGCTGACAAAGCATTTTGTTCCTCAACAAAACACCGCGGTGTAGACAAATGTGTTGGTGTATTTGAAGTAATCACTCCCGTCGTAAGATGCGACCAAATGAATGGGGTGGTAAGGTGCGATGTCTTGGTAGTTTGCGAGTCGTCGTACCCCGACGCGAAACGGATCGCTGACAAAGCATTTTGTTCCTCAACAAAACACCGCGGTGTAGACAAATGTCTTGGTGTCTTTGAAGTAATCACTCCAGTTTGCGAGACGTCGTACCCCGACGGCGTGGTTACAACATCACTGGATAGTCTGGCCCAGACTCGACTATTTACAGGCCGCCGTCATATAGCTTGAATATTCCCGAGTGCGGCGTTAAACAACAAACAAACAAAAAACACCAAAACGAATTAGGGTTGGGTTTTTTGGTATGAGACTGATTCAATTGAGGTTCATAACATGCTACAAGATACCTGCTTCTATTGACAGTGCAGGTGCGAGTACAATCACGGCACTTAGAAGAATCTGCAACGAAAGGAGTAAATTGAAAATACATTTGTTTCAAAGCAGAGCACGCAATTTACTATTGTCCTTTCATTATGGACTCTGCTGGTATATTTGTGTTAGTTAATGTGACAGAGGTGTGCATATACAGGAATATCACTTAGACGTTATCGTTATTTATTTACTCTCGTATAACATTCCATAGGTTGACCTTGTAAAGCTGGCCCCACAGCAAAAAAAGTGTAGGTTTCCGGATTCCGGAAACCTTCCGGAAACCTTCCGGATACCTTCCCATTTTGGATCCGGCCCGGATACCTTCCGGAAACCTTCCGGAAACCTTCCAAAAAAAACGTCAAAATTTGGGGGGTGCATTTTGTTCACTTAAGTGTGAAACATATAAAAAAGTTATCTTGAAAATACCAAGAGATTTGAAGGTTGCTGAAGGCATCTGGAAGGTTTCCGGAAGGTTTCCGGAAGGTTTCCGGATTCCGGAAACCTACACTTTTTTTGCTGTGCCCTGTATCTGTTATCTAAATGCAAGAGTGGGACGCTTACGTTTTGCAGCATCCCAAGTACTGTTATGAGTAGTCGCAAACTCCAGGACCCAAATCGACGATAGAAGTACTGAAATAATCACACTTATTTTTGAAGTTTTAAAATAAGAGTATTTGGGCATTATATGTTACCCTTGTTTATGGTCTCAACAAATTTAGGACATATGTCAAAATCTCTTTTACAGTTTCCAACTAAATTTAAATATATCTAACACCGATTCCTGAATTTATTCTTCAAATTAACAAATGAAATAGGAATATACATATGAAGGTTTAATAACTCGGTAGCGAGTGTTATTTAACGCAGCAATCAGCAATATTTTACATCAATGTGTAAATTATTGAATTTGGACTAGTCCAGTGACTATAAATGCATGAGCAATGATTTATGTCAATAAAATGCGAGTTCCAGTTTAGAACTGCAGTGACTATAAATGCACGAGCAATGATTTATGTCAGTGAAATGCAAGTTCCGGTTTAGAATTGGTCTTCAGTAACACAAGTTTGTCGTAAGAGCTGACTAACGGAATTCGGTGGTCAGGCTCGATGACTTGGTTTGTTAATGTCATGGTATACCAGCTGCGAAGATCGATGCTCATGATGTGAATCACTGGACTATCTGGTTCAGACTAGATTATTTACAGACCGTCGTCGTATGGCAGGAATACTACTGGGTGCGTCGTTAAACAACAAACTAACAAACATTTGAGCCACAGAGACTGGATTCCCCACGATGGTTTGTTTAAAGGAGTGAGTGATTTGGGTTGGGTTTAATGTCGCTTTTAACATAATTCCAGTTATATAACGGCGTGTCAGCTTAATGTGGGAGAAAAACCCGAAGTGATGCAGGTGTCGGACGTTTGCCACTTCGGTGAAACCCACAAGCACGGGTATGGTGCTGACAAACCTAGAAACATAAACAGGGATTCGAACCCACAATCATAGGTTTCTGGCGTGCCCAAGGGAGGCAGCTCTGCACAGCGAATCGCGGCGCCTCAGACGACTGGGCCATCCGTGTCCCCTTATTTAAAGAGCTTGAAAAGGAAAATAATAAAGTTGTTGTTACCTCATACATGCTGGTTATCTTCAGGTTATGCATCATCGGTACCAATGTTAACATGAATATGGTCATACTAGCGGCTAAACCTGCAGCAAACATGGCGTACACAAATCCGTACGTGAAGGTTTCGGCAGGCAGCCCAATCATTGAAGCCGACGATGTGTACGACACAAACAGAGACATCGTGACCGGAAGGACGTGTAGACGCCTTCCCCCCAACAGGTAGTCCTCCCTGGTACCCCTTTTCCTCCCCCTGATGGCGTAATACAGCCCTATCCCCACAGACACGGACAGGAGTCCACAGATGACGACGTAGTCAGTGGCACCGAGGGACACTTTAGCCATACCTGACAGAATACAGTCCATAAATGGCTTGCTCACCTGGTCTCCTTAGATCTTTATATTAATTTATTTGATATATTTTCCATATTTTCAAATGGGCATAAACAATCCAATAAATATTTAATAACGTTTCGTCTAATTGTTGTTGTACTCAATTAACATGTATCAAGAATGCATGCAACAATGATCAGTTGTATGCACGACAGCCCTAATATAGTATTTGGTCAATATATCAAACATCTCACATGCTTTGGAGGGTAATTAATATCGATGTTGAATGTCAAAGAAAAACAATACATCTGTTCCAGCCATTTCTTTATCAATATCACTTCTGCACATGAAGCTGTTATATCGTTTTGGAGGAATAATATATATATCATGAAATATAATTTTTTTGTATTATTATTAATGTTGATAACAGTATATTAAGCCTCAGTGTATTGGTGTTTGGTCAGTTTTTATACCTCAAACAGTCTGAATTGTTCTATGATTGCTTTTATCCGAAATTGGACTGAATACAAATCATATTTGCCAGTCTTAAAACGATACTTCACAATAATGGAGTAAGAATGTTACGTTATATTGAATATCTGCGAATTATATGTTTATATGGTGCGGTGAAAAGGGGTTTATCGTCGCGTCCAAGATCATTGCACTTATATAGCGACGTACATGCACCTGTATGTGTGTGTGTGGCTGCTTGTACAAGACCGGGCTGATCCCGATTTGTAGTACTTGCCCACTGAGATACCATGCCGCAGTTTAACATGAATACCCCACTCAGACACAGTATACTAACTCCGAGCCGACCAGTCCTTGTTTTAGCCCAATAATGCCGAGCGCCAGACAGGGTAACAACAAGTACCATCTTTTAACGTCTTTTGGTGTGACGCGGCCGGGATATGTTTACATGATTTGGTTTGTCAGCTCCATACTCGTCGTCGTGGGTATCGCCAAAGTGTAAACATCTAGGACCTGCATCACTTCGGGCATCCCCACCACATTAAGCTGATACGCCGAGGGGCGGTCGGGTAGCCTTGTGGTTAAAGCGTTCGCTCGTCACGCCGAAGACCCCGGTTCGATTCCCAACATAGGTGCAATGTGTGAAGCCCATTTCTGATGTCCCCCGCCGTGATATTGCTGGAATATTGCTAGGAGGAACAGCGCAAACACGTACTGCACGTGCTACACAGTATACGTCGTTGTTGACTACATGCGCTACTAAGCTGATGTGATGTTTAAGATGTATGATTTCTTTCAATTTGAAGCAGAAAGAGAAAAAACCATTTTATGCCACTAATCAATACTTGAAACGAGCTTCTAAAGGTCTTGGCTTCTCCTAAGAAGCTGAAAAAATGTTGTCCTGGTGGTGTATGTGTTGTGCAAGCACCTGTGAATCTGATTTGCAAATCTCATTTCAATACATATTATACATCTTATCTATATTTGACTTATTGCTAATCACTTTATTGAAACAGGTTTAGATTCTTAACATGATTATACCCGTTTAAGCGTGTTTAAATTCTAAAAATGTTTAAGGTTTAAACATGTTTTAACGCGTTTAATTTCTGAACATGTTTAGATTATGGGGATGTTGTGTTTAGATGGTGTTTAGGTTGTGAGACGATAGCTCATTTAGACCCATATGCGTTGAGATAGAACACACCAAACATGTATTCCGCTTAGGATTTAAACATATTCCTAATCATGTTCAGATCTAAACATGTCTTGTCTGTGTGTACATTCTAAACACATGTTTTACAGTGCAGTTCCTTCAGTCACATTGACAAGTCTGGGGGTGTTAACTAAAACAAACGTGTCTGTCGTAGTAAGTAGATATTCTCTCATTGTCAGCTTCCTGTATGACAGCAATAACACATTTATGAAACACAAAGATTTGTAAACGTTAGCGGGATTCGAACCCGCAACGTTTTTATTTGTCGTCCTTTACGCTACCACCTGTTACGGCTTCCTGTGCTGTTGTCAAAAGTGTCAATTTTCCAAGTCACCATTAGCTTGGTTTATTTGTACAGTTTAGGTTAATATTGTAACCAGATCGTTGTAAGTCCTAGTGGTGTTTAGGTGGTGTTTACAGCTGCGAGACGATAGCTCATTTCTTGTGTTTAGACCCTAAACGTGTTTAGATAGAACACATCCAATGTGTATTCCGTTTAGGATTGAAACACTTTCCTAAACATGCCTTGCATGTGTTTAGATTCTAAATACATTTTTACAGTGTCCATCAAATTCAAAAACTCAAATTTACTTGACCCTTTCTGGGTAAGAAATGACAAAATTCCCATTTGACTGTGGAATTGACATAGTCATAAAGTATCATGCATCACTTCTCCTTGCACAGACTGAAGTTCGCCCATTCAAATCCAATGGAGGATCACCATCGGTTAGCTTTGAGAATGGCGGACTTGACTTGTCAACACCCTTCTAGGGCGTGCCGCTCTGTCTCATATATCCAGGTATGGGTTTTGTCAATGAATAAGTTATGATAAAACATTGATCAGACGAATGACCAAATATTATGTTGTTATTTTCAATAACATTTACACCACAGTTAGTTTTATCCGTATTTATTCAATGTCGCTCCCGGCTTTCAACTTGAATGAGTCCAAGTACTTGCTAAAAAGAGAAAAACATCTACGGAACAATGGGATGAAGTCACAGGAGGTTTATAATTCGTGTTTCCAAGTTTCACGAGCGTCCCTTGTCGGTAGATCATCAATTAGTTGAAAAAATGTGGGTCGCGCGATTGTTTTACCTGGTCACCTCGTCACAGGTTTTTCTTTCAGTGCAGTATAGTGTGTCTGGGTTAGGGTTTCCATGCCAAACTCCAGCATGGTGTCTCTGTGAGACGGCCTACCTGGGACTGGGACTACCGGACTTTCACGCACGCACGCACGCACGCACGCACGCACGCACACTCACATCTCGCTATTTTAGTGTAATAATCTTGAATGCGACGTTGTTAAACCTTATTTCAGTTCACCACTACCTCGACGCGACAATTCTAATTATAATAATATCAATAAATTACGCATATTTAATATTAATAGTAATAAATGTGTGCATATTTAGGCTTTCGGGTATATTGGAAAATTGTCAAATTGGACAAATTGAGCTGTGAATTATATTTCGTTTTGTGCATAAAATTCAACGTCTCGAGACTTGTATTCTTTGCAGCCATATTGATATCGGTGACGATTCACAGTTCGTCACTTCTGTAATGTCCGTCGCAATCATCTGCAAATCACTGTTACTGTTGAATGTACGTGAGCTACATACTCATGCACGTGGTCAATATTAAAAAAAAAAACATCTCGCATTCTTCATATTGTAACGTGTCGATTTCCTAATTGAAACAAGTAGTTAAACCAGAAATCTATACGAAAAAGACTTCGGTGTGAAACCAACAAATAACAAAGAAATGTCATACAATAAACTATTACTATTTACAAATCAAAACAAATTACTGCAAAGTAATTACGATGGCAGTACACAAGCGTTGCAACACAAAGTTCAAAGACAGTACAATTACAACTGCAGTATAAAATACAATAGCAGTGGTGGAAGCAAATTGTCAGTGATTATAATACTCACCTAGCAGCAACAGTTCAGCTTCCACAAAAAGCATTGCCTGGATATCCAGGATGAAAACACTGATATTCACACAATCGCTGGCCTTGATGTAATGTAAGATGAAAGAGGCACGCACTTGCCCACTTGTGTTGTCTAAATCCCTTCTAGAAAGCTTCATAGCATGCTGGATAAGTCTATAAATGTTCTAGAAGATTCCAGATTACACTTGACTCCAAAAGTTAAATATGGTCACTTTCACATCCCTGCTAACTTTAGATAGTAATATATTCATGACAACTAATTATTGTTAAAACACCATGTTACGAAGTTTTAATGAATCTTAACAGACACAATGCAATACAATTACAACATTGGTTAACAATAAATAATACTGTCATATAACAATATACTGAAACACTTTGTAAACGCATATTTGATTTTTTGGTAATTTTTGGAAACATGGCCTCAAAAATCGGTGAGTCATGAGATAATCAATCACAACGATGTCGCCGTTCTGGTTCGAATCTCATTAAGCACAAAAAACACATCATGCCTGAAGTTTGAAACATGATTATGCATTTTCATTGTGTGTCAGTATACATCATACAGTTATGTGGTGCTGTAGCCTCATTGCTGAGTGGTTTGTTATGTGTAACCAGTTTTTGTATAAATAAGTTCGAAGTAAGTGGCAGTGGCAGAAAACAGAAAAAATATTGAAATGCCGGTAAAATATATCAGTGCTGTCGTGGCCGGATTTAAACCGCTATCGACAGCAGCGAGTGGACATACCAGATGGTTGTACCAGGAATTTAGTGTTATCCGCCCCTTGGTTTTTAACTTGACAGCGGCACGCTTCAATATGCGAAACGTTTCGGAATGGGATAGTTTCTAATTGGCTGGCGGTTCCGACATCAGGGCATGAGGGCAATTCGAGGCCCTTTGTAGACCTGACTTGCTACTTATCTTCGTGCCGAGTGCATTTGGATACCTGTTTGTAAACACTAAATTCCTACAGGTTCCAACACTATTTTGGATTTACACGAAGACAGGCCTCTTTCACATCAAAGTCACAACATTCTGAACATTCGTGAGTGCACTTCTAGGGCATATTGATTATTGCCGCTGCCACCTTTTGCACCCAGTGTATTGCCTTTTTATTTCAAATCTAAGACTGTGTATTCCAGTATAAGGGGCGGTCGGGTAGCCTAGTGGTTAAAGCGTTCGCTCGTCACGCCGAAGACCCGGGTTCGATTCCCGACATGGGTACAATGTGTGAAGCCCATTTCTGGTGTCCCCCGCCGTGATATTGCTGGAATATTGCTAAAAGCGGCGTAATACCAAACTCACTCACTCACTCACTATTCCAGTATAATGTATTGATTATTCACTGATCTTGTGTGGTCAATTAGAGATAAGTAAGTTCTGTAGGTAACGAGTTCTGGTTTAAAAATTTGGAAATCGCCTCGTAACAGAATCATGCTACCAGCATCTCTTCTGTGATAAAACACAAACGGTGGAAACAAAAATAGCCTCGGGCACATTTCTTTTCATTACTTCAGTTCTGAAAAGAAATGCAATAATAATACATTGAATGTTGACAATCACAATAAATATTCATATAAACATATATGCAATACCAATCACCATGTTTGTCAAGTAAACAATGTAATGCGGTGTTGCTGTCACTCATGGCTGACGGTATACCTCGAGAAAATAGCAGAATATGTCATACCTGAAAGAATACTAATGTTATTAACGCTCATAATTTATCATTTTTTCATAACTGCAATGTGCCATGTAACAAAAGCAGTCACCATGTAGGACACGGTGTGTGGTAACGCTTTATTTGATTCACCACTTTTGTTACATAATGGTCAGGTTTTAGATGTTTAGTCACATCTACCGCACATCCAGTATTACTGCCCTATTGTCTCCCGGAAAGGTTTGTGACAAGTGTGATGGACACCTTACCACACACCCTAGAACGTATGTTGTCATGGTCAAATGTGACAGGCATGTAGCCTTCCGTTGAAATAACTCCTTTTACAATATTACAAACTCTCTGTGTGTGTGTGTCAGTGTGTGTGTCAGTGTGTGTGTGTGTGTGTGTGTGTGTGTGTGTGTGTGTGTGTGTGTGTGTCGTATTGTTTAACGCCTCAATCAATACATTCACGTTATTGTCGAGTTTGGAGGGACGGTCGCGTAGCCAATTGGTTAAGGCGTTCGCTCGTCACGCCGAAGACCCGGTTCGATTCCCGACATGGGTACAATGTGTGAAGCCCTTTTCTGGTGCCCCCCGCCGTGATATTGCTGGAATATTGCTAAAAGCGGCGTAAAACCATACCCACTCTCTCACGCACTCCTAACTCAATTTTTCATCAAAGTAAATTTTAATCACCGAATAGGAATTCAAACGACGCCATTTTGAAAACAAATATGGCCGCCTTATAATTGAAAATAACAAAACAAAGCAAAAATATAATAGAATACACTCATAATATCAATTTGAAATATATTTTTATTTAATGAAATGATTATTCAGGTACATTTCACATGATACTTTACAAAACAAAAGCAAATTTCAATAGCGGCTATCTTGAAATTCATTTGAGGGCATTTTTCGAGTGCTTTTATTTTAACTAGGGTTACAAAATGGACCCATATGCAAAATTTCATTCTTTTATCACGATTTGAACTATTTTCATGCTTATCCGCTGGACTAGTTTACACTTTCATGCAGTTCACTCGTGGCTGCCTCACTGTTCATGAATTGAACATGTTATTTGTTATTATTTTGTTTACAACACTCGTGCCTAAATTCGTGCTCTCGCTCGGGAAATACCGGAATTTAGACACTCGTGTCGTATGATATAGTATGACATGAACACTCATTTATCCTCAAAAACTGGCTCCCACGGGAGATATATGCTTCGGCGAGATCAAGCGATATCTACATTGTACATGTCGCTGCAATGAAATTGCATCACAATGTTTGCAGACCATTGTCACATCATTGCATGGTTACCATGACGTCAGAATCAAATGACATCACTAATTGTTCAGCCTCTGTTAATGAAGCTGTAAAATTGGCAGTACTTTTTACTCTATGACGCTGCTTACTACTGTCTACAAACTAAAAAAGTTGGAAGAATGATGTTTGACGATAAATAAAATCTCACCCTCGTGTCTTTTGATATCAAATATCATATATACACTGGCTGATAAAAGTGGAAAAACTCGAATCAACACTCGCTGATACAAGTGGAAAAACTCAACGAGTGTTTATATATTTGATATCAAAAGACACGAGGGTGAGATTCTCTATATAATATCCTCTATAATAAAATCACGCCCCTAGATCTAGTAGTGATGGTGGTGGTGGTGACCAAGGTGCGTATTTCAGTAACATACGAGTTATCTCCCTTTACCCAACTCATTTAAAGCTCCTTCCCAGCGCGTGACACCTTTGTTGCACTCGCGGTAGAGAGTTCCGCGAACGGGCTATCGCTGTGAGGAGATTGAACTCATTTGTAACCATTCGCATCAATGGCAACAAGCATTTCACATGAACTCATAACTGGGTACATGTATGCGGTTGTACGAACTGCTACGTTGGGAGACCTTAGCTATGCTGAGATGATAAAAAAATGCCCTTCTAAATTTGTGATTATTCACTGTGGAAAGGACATTTTCTGTACGGAAGAAAATGAAATCCCCTCATTCCCTCAAATCACTCATTACACTGTGCCACTCAAGCTCCTCTCAGCGATAGTACGTTCCCGGAGCGAGAGTGTAACGATGGTGTCACGCGCTGGGAAGGAGCTTGTGTGCCACTGAGTAGCGCTGCTGTGGAGTTCGCATAAGTCACATGATCAAACATTGTCACATGATCACAGCCGACAGGCTTTAAAGTTAAAACAAATGTGGGCGTTTGTTACATCTTGAGCTCCGTGTGCGAAATACGCATCAGTCGGAAAGCGCACGTTAAATCTCCAAAGTAAGTAAGTAACATCTTGAGCTAAGTATCGTGACAAAGATGCATCTTTCAGAAGTGTTGCTTTTCTGTGCATGCTGCACTGTTTTGTCAGCGACGTCAAGTCGCCCAAACATTATTTTCATCCTCGCTGACGATTACGGATTCCATGATATCGGGTATCACAACTCGGAAATAAAAACTCCAAACCTTGACAAGCTGGCTGCAGCCGGGGTGAAGCTAGAAAACTATTATGTCCAGCCAATCTGCACCCCCACACGGAGCCAGTTCATGTCAGGGAGGTACCAGGTAGGTCAGTCATACCCGTAATAGTTGTCGGCGAACGCAAAGGTTTTTGATCCACTAATTAATGCACTGACAATAATTCCCCTCATATTTGTTGTCATATTTTCGGATAACCCTCCCGAGGTCCTTGCACTTTAGTCATGACCCTTCTTTAAAGGACAAGTTATCAAAATGCAAAAGCATTAATTATTTTATATCAAAATGCCATTTTTACATCTGCATACACCGCGAAGTTTTCAAATCCACAGGATTAGTTTTGACTATTGTACGACTCATTTGGTAGTTGTGTGAGTGGGTGGGGGGGGGGGGGGGGGGGGGGGGCGGGGGTCATCTGTTATGAACAGTCCAAGCATTGTTTTTATTGTCAGAACAGACACCTATCAGATAGGTATGTCTTACAAACATGCATGTTTCAATTTCATAAACGTGAATAATTCCAAAATACAACACTCTTGTATCCATGCAATGGGAGTGCAGTGGATACTTTATGCTTCCATTCTTATTTTGCTTGTGTATATTAACTGCCGGGCTAATAAAAATGAAATGAGAATTGGTAATAGTTATGTATGATGTATAACGGGTATCAATGTTGTGATTTGGACCTTATATACAGTCTTTCTGTGACGGTTTTCAGCCTAGTAACATTTCGATAGTATTTGTAATTTGGGTGTCAAAGCAGATTTTCAAGTTTATACTTACTCTTGCTCGGCCAGAGTTTTACACGACTCACAAAATGTATACGTCCAGTATGCACAAATGTGGAGAATGGACGCAGAGAAAAAATATACTGCATCCCGAAGGACACACAATGGTATTCATTTTACCTACAGCACAGCAAGAGTAATTATGGGATAATGTTATTTCATCCATCAAACATGACGACTGTCTGCAGAATTATTGATTCATTCCAGGCTCTAAAGTTCTTATCAAAATGTACTAAACACAACCCCATTTCCTTACTTAACAGGACCCTCATATTGCCTGCAAGAATCCTTAAAATTAATTATTGGGAATTTCCTGGACCCCCTCTTTTGTTAGTCAAGTTAAAACCCTGCTCAGCAGTTAAGTTTTGTCTGTTTTAATTTCAGATTCACACTGGCTTACAACATGGCATCATCTGGGCGTCCCAGCCCAACGGCCTGCCGCTGGATAGCGCCACAGTTGCAGACAGGATCCGAGCTGCAGGGTATTCCACTCATGCTGTTGGCAAATGGCATCTGGGTTTCTACAAGGAAGAATACCTCCCTACCAACAGGGGATTTGATTCATACTATGGTAAGGAAAGCAGTAACCTGTAGGTGTGACTGGGGGCACGGGTGGCCCAGTCGTCTAAGGCGCCGCGATTCGCTGTGCAGAGTTGCGTCCCTTGGGCATGCCAGAAACCTATGATTGTGGGTTCAAATCCCAATTATGTTTCTAGGTTTGTCAGCACCATACCCGCATTCGTGTGTTTCACCGAAGTGGTAAACGTCCGAGACCTGCATCACTTAATTCGGGCTTTCCTCCCACATTAAGCTGACACGTCGCGATATAACTGGAATACTGTTAAAAGCGGCGCTAAACCAAACTCACTCACTCACTCAATGTAGGTGTGACTTGTGATGAATAAAACTCCATGAAATTAGGAACAACTGTCAGGGTTGACTTTATTACTCGTTGGTCATTAAATAAAGGCAATCTAAACATGCTAAAGATGTTCAAATATATACTTTTATTTTTTTTGCAATAACACACAAAAACTCCAGATTTGCGTAATTGAGGAGAGGGCTCATCAGAAAAACCCACAAAAATGAAGTCTATCCTCATTATGATATCACCCAATAAATTGAAAGCTGATTATCATTTATTAATGTCACTTGTGGATTATTATGTATTTTTCATATCTTACGAAAACAGAAGATCATGATAAGACTGAACATGCTGATGAATGAACAGCACATTATGTAGTTATAATGTTGAACACTATCATTTTATGGACCATCTATACGCTATGTGAAGCGATATTAGAGAATCTCACCCGAGTGTCTTTTGATATCAAATTATATCAATACGAGTTGATAAAAGTGGAAAAAGTTCGAGGCTTGCCGAGGAGTTTTGCCACTTTTATCAACAAGTGTTGATATATTTGATATCAAAAGACACAAGGGTGAGATTTGATTTATCATCCAACATCATTCTTCCAACTTTTTCAATTTGTAGACAGTAATTAGCAGTGTTTTCAGTGTAAAAAGTACTGCTAACAGCTTCAGTAGCAGAGCCATTAGTGATGTCATTTGATTGTGACATCATGGTAACCAGTGACGTCACAATGGTCTGCAAAGCATTGTGATGTAATTTCATTGCAGCGATATCTACAGTGTAGATGTTGATCTCATCCAAGGATATCACCTGTGGGAGCCAGTTTTGGATGATAAGATGCCTTACACATGATACAGAACAGATTTTTAATCAGAAAAAATTAATTGGCCCCGAAAATTCAAGAAAAAATAATTATGCTTCTGAAATTACCTACCACAAAAAATACATTGTTGCAGGGTGTTTACTTTAAGAATTATTCACTCTGAGTTTTAAATAAAAGTATATGATTTTGTGGCTGTAGTTTCCACAGACATTACATGCTGCAGACACTGACAAAACTCTTCAGGCCCTCATTTTAGAAACTGCAGCTTATTGTGACAAATTGACATGTAAATTTACTGAAGGCAGTGAGGACAGATACGAATTTGAAACTGTGGGCCTGACACGAGATCGACCTGCCACTGGCCTGCAGGCAGGCGTTTATTTCCAATACTGACCATGACTGTTCTATATTCTTATCAAACAGGTAGATAGGTTGTTGATAAAATGCTCAGGCGACATTGTTATCAAACAAGTATATCTATACTACAATTGTAATTAAGATGATTATCAATACTATATGTAAAGGTTCACGACCCGAATTCGGCCTTGGTAGGAGCTGTAATACCTGAGCGGTGTAGTGCGTGCAGGTCAATTGTTAGGCCAAGGGACGAAAGACTTGGGGTGTTACTTTTCAACCTATCCCCTCGGGACCGCAAAAATAAAATATGTTGTTTTTATTTGATATCTATACACCTATTAAAGATGGGCTTATCTAACACTTGCACCAACCTGTGGGTGATGTACACTGTCACAAACCATGTGCTCAGTTAACCTTTACTTCATCACCTGTCCTGGTGGCTCAGTAAATCTTTACTTCATCACCTGCCCTGGTGGCTCAGTGACCCTTTACTTCATCACCTGCCATGGTGACTCTGTGAACCTTTACTTCATCACCTGCCCTGGTGACTCTGTGATCCTTTACTTCATCACCTGCTCCGGTGGCTCAGTGACCCTTTACTTCATAACCTGCCATGGTGACTCTGTGAACCTTTACTTCATCGCCTGCCCTGGTGACTCTGTGAACCTTTACTTCATCACCTGCCCCAGTAGCTCAGTGAACCTTTACTTCATCACCTGCCCCGGTGGCGCAGTGAACCTTTACTTCATCACCTGCCCCGGTAGCGCAGTGAACCTTTACTTCATCGCCTGCCCCAGTAGCTCAGTGAACCTTTACTTCATCACCTGCCCCGGTGGCGCAGTGAACCTTTACTTCATCGCCTGCCCCAGTGGCTCAGTGAACCTTTACTTCATCACCTCCCCTGGTAGCTCAGTGAACCTTTACTTCATCACCTGCCCCGGTGGCGCAGTGAACCTTTACTTCATCACCTGCCCCGGTGGCTCAGTAAACCTTTACTTCATCACCTGCCCTGGTGGCTCAGTGAACCTTTACTTCATCACCTGCCATGGTGACTCAGTGAACCTTTACTTCATCACCTGCCCCGGTGGCGCAGTGAACCTTTACTTCATCACCTACCCCGGTGGCTCAGTAAACCTTTACTTCATCACCTGCCCCGGTGGCTCAGTGAACCTTTACTTCATCACCTGCCATAGTGACTCAGTGAACCTTTACTTCATCACCTGCCCCGGTGGCGCAGTGAACCTTTACTTCATCACCTGCCCCGGTGGCTCAGTAAACCTTTACTTCATCACCTGCCTTGGTGGCTCAGTGAACCTTTACTTCATCACCTGCCATGGTGGCTCAGTGAACCTTTACTTCATCGCCTGCCCCAGTGGCTCAGTGAACCTTTACTTCATCACCTCCCCTGGTAGCTCAGTGAACCTTTACTTCATCACCTGCCCCGGTGGCTCTGTAAACCTTTACTTCATCACCTGCCCTGGTAGCTCAGTGAACCTTTACTTCATCACCTGCCATGGTGACTCAGTGAACCTTTACTTCATCACCTGCCCCGGTGGCTCAGTGAACCTTTACTTCATCACCTGCCCTGGTGGCTCAGTGAACCTTTACTTCATCACCTGCCATGGTGACTCAGTGAACCTTTACTTCATCACCTGCCCCGGTGGCGCAGTGAACCTTTACTTCATCACCTGCCCCGGTGGCGCAGTGAACCTTTACTTCATCACCTGCCATGGTGACTCTGTGAACCTTTACTTCATCACCTGCCCTGGTGACTCTGTGATCCTTTACTTCATCACCTGCTCCGGTGGCTCAGTGAACCTTTACTTCATCACCTGCCCTGGTGACTCTGTGATCCTTTACTTCATCACCTGCTCCGGTGGCTCAGTGACCCTTTACTTCATCACCTGCCATGGTGACTCTGTGAACCTTTACTTCATCGCCTGCCCTGGTGACTCTGTGAACCTTTACTTCATCACCTGCCCCAGTAGCTCAGTGAACCTTTACTTCATCACCTGCCCCGGTGGCGCAGTGAACCTTTACTTCATCACCTGCCCCGGTGGCGCAGTGAACCTTTACTTCATCGCCTGCCCCAGTAGCTCAGTGAACCTTTACTTCATCACCTGCCTTGGTGGCGCAGTGAACCTTTACTTCATCGTCTGCCCCAGTGGCTCAGTGAACCTTTACTTCATCGCCTGCCCCAGTGGCTCAGTGAACCTTTACTTCATCACCTCCCCTGGTAGCTCAGTGAACCTTTACTTCATCACCTGCCCCGGTGGCGCAGTGAACCTTTACTTCATCACCTGCCCCGGTGGCTCAGTAAACCTTTACTTCATCACCTGCCCTGGTGGCTCAGTGAACCTTTACTTCATCACCTGCCATGGTGACTCAGTGAACCTTTACTTCATCACCTGCCCCGGTGGCGCAGTGAACCTTTACTTCATCACCTGCCCCGGTGGCTCAGTAAACCTTTACTTCATCACCTGCCTTGGTGGCTCAGTGAACCTTTACTTCATCACCTGCCATGGTGGCTCAGTGAACCTTTACTTCATCGCCTGCCCCAGTGGCTCAGTGAACCTTTACTTCATCACCTCCCCTGGTAGCTCAGTGAACCTTTACTTCATCACCTGCCCCGGTGGCTCTGTAAACCTTTACTTCATCACCTGCCCTGGTAGCTCAGTGAACCTTTACTTCATCACCTGCCATGGTGACTCAATGAACCTTTACTTCATCACCTGCCCCGGTGGCTCAGTGAACCTTTACTTCATCACCTGCCCTGGTGGCTCAGTGAACCTTTACTTCATCACCTGCCATGGTGACTCAGTGAACCTTTACTTCATCACCTGCCCTGGTGGCTCAGTGAACCTTTACTTCATCACCTGCCATGGTGACTCAGTAAACCTTTACTTCATCACCTGCCATGGTGACTCTGTGAACCTTTACTTCATCACCTGCCCCGGTGGCTCAGTGAACCTTTACTTCATCACCTGCCCTGGTGGCTCAGTGAACCTTTACTTCATCACCTGCCATGGTGACTCAGTGAACCTTTACTTCATCACCTGCCCTGGTGGCTCAGTGAACCTTTACTTCATCACCTGCCATGGTGACTCAGTAAACCTTTACTTCATCACCTGCCATGGTGACTCTGTGAACCTTTACTTCATCACCTGCCCCGTGGGCTCATCGGGAAAACACTGGGGTACAATACTCAACATGATATATGTAGTTGTAGGTTAAATTCATATCATGGAATATTCATTTCAGTTCATTTTAATCTTTTAACTTTTAACCAGTCCAAATATTAACCTGATTTAATTATTTTTTAAAGTTAAAAAAAATAACCTGGAGACAGGTCCTTTTTGGTCTTATTTGAAAGAAGTAAAACCTGAAAAGTGGTCTTGGTAGGACAGTAAGACCTCCCTATGTATCTTAAGTGTTGCTCAGTCTTTCAACTTGTTTGAGTCCAAGTACTTCCTCAAAGGAGAAACCCCAGTATGGAACAATGGGATGATGTCACTGGAGGTTTATAATGTCATTTGTAACACATCCCGGTCGTTAACAGATAAAAGCCACACAGAGGTCTTGGTTGTTCTAGATCATGAGTCCAAAGGAGAAGAATATATTGTTTGAAGCACCTGAAGCAGGTTATATTACCTGAGCCAGTCTTTAGTTTATGTCAGAATCTTCCTCATGGGGATTCCGGGCTAGAATTGGTCTCCAGCAAACCAAGCTGTCATAAGATTAACCAGCCCTGGGAGTCAAACTCAGTGACTTGGTTGAATTCGTATCATTGTACCCTGATCATGGATCATTGCTCACATTATCAATCAGCTGGAATACATCTTCCCTAAGCAAGAGAGTTAACTGACTTTAAAAGTCCAGTTTCCACCCTTGCTGAACTTGGCTGGGCTTGATCGTAGTGGTTATTATGAGTTATGTCCCTTCTAAGCCTCTCCTGTGGACCAATCAGATTCCATCACTTGCACTTGTTTCAAACAAAACGGTGGCGCCGAGTCAAGACGATCTGATCGATAATCAAGATCTATGTTGTGATAAAACATAGCACCTTTATTAAAAACATGAAAAGGTTTGGAAAATATCTGTTGACAAAGAGTTGGCGGTGCACATGCTTTGCAAATCCTACAATCGACCGAAATCTGCGCTACAGTATACGAACCAGATTTCGATTTCATTGCACGATTTTGATTGGACTATGCATAGACTCCAGCCATAATGTAACTCCATAATACCAGCCTAGTTCTGCAAGGGTGGAAACTGGACTTTTAGAGTCAGTTAACTCTCTTGCCTCGGGTAGATGGATAGAATATTGCTGAATATGGGATTAAACAGCAAACAAATAACATGAATATACCAGTGCATGTGAGTGTTTCAAATCCTGTTTCAGTGAATTGTCAACAGTGATTGCATAAAGCCAATTGATTATCTGAATGTGTGAAAGCAGCTTGCTTCAAGTTCAAGGGTACCAGATGATATAATGTGCAGGCTGAGTAGTTTGCCTATTGCTCCAGTGGCAGGTGTAGTCACTATTATGCAGAGCTTCAGATGGCTCTCAGTCACCTGTAATCGACCGATAAAATATCAATTTGACAGATGGTTTGTGCAACTAGTTTGACTTTTGACCGATAGAAATGCAAAGCATGGCATCATATGTGTCGATATTTCATCAATTAAAAGTAAATAGTAACGATTAGTCCTACTTACAGTATTGATTTTACAGAACAATGCACAGCCATAATAAAATCGTAATTAAAATTCTGAGCAATGGGTGTCTTTGCATCATACTTTCTGTATCATAGGGAAATGCTGTCAGGAGCTATTGTGACTTCGTCATGCGCTTTTCTTATTGCTAAGTTCGATGGCCAGATCGTATATATTCATCCAATCATGAATGGTATTGCATTGATGTTGTTATGGTTTGGTTTTTTATCTTTCAGACTTATTGACTTTTGCCACTGACTTATTACATTTCTTGGGTCCAAATCATTGTCCTATCCACAGATTGTTATGTCAAAATCACTGTTATTGCTGAAAGATTTGGGAGAGTGACACATAGAGTAGAGAAATAAAGTATTGTTATTATCAGAAACATTTTGTAAACATGGTAAAGTTGAAGATAACATGATATTTCTGATGAATTTTAGAGATAAATATGCATGAATACCTCTCAGTTATTGACTGCTCATTTCACCACCATGAAAGCGACAGGTAACATATCTCTACACTGAAAACACATTATCCCCTAGTTTGATACCTTTCATTCGAAACTGAACTTGTTACAAATATTTGAGTTTGAATCAGTGAAAATATACACATGGTCCTCAAAAGAACAAATTTACAAAAAGTTTAATAGAACATACCACATACTTCAAATATTGCTAAGCAGTATGCCATTTTCCCCAAAAAATTGATATATTTCTTGTTTTACCATAATTGAAACTGAGTTGGATTTTGAATCATTACTAGACTATTTATATGCATGTATCCATATGCAGCAAGGTAGGTAACAAGTATATTATCATCCTCAGTGATTTATACCCCATGAAGATCCGGGGTAGAATAGGTTTTCAGCAACCCATACTTGTCGTAAGAGGCAACTAACGGGATCGGGTGGTCAGGCTCGCTGACTTGGTTGATGCCTGTCATCGATCCCAATTGTGTGGATCTATGCTCATGTTGTCATGATTGACTGGTCCAGACTAAATTATTTACAGACCTCCATCATACAGCTGGAATATTGCTGAATGAGGCATAAACAACAAACAAACAAAGAAACAATCTTTTATATTAGCATTCTGTTATAATGAATACCCTGTAACAATTAACTACAGTTAATGACACAGTTTTGATTCAAACAATATTCTAAAAACATGCCACATACAAAGGTGTCTCCCAATTTTGTGGATTGATGCTCATGATGCCAATCACTGGATTTTCTGGTCTAGACTCGATGATTTACAGCCTGCCGTCATATAGCTGGAACAGTTCAGCGCTAAACAACAAACAATCAGATTACACTTACGAGCAAGAGACATCCTGTGTTATGATAAGACCAGTTGATGTCACTTCCAAAACAAGTTTGGCTGGAGTGAGTGAGTGAGTATGGTTTTACGCCGCTTTTTGCAATATTCCAGCAATATCACGGCAGGGTACATCAGAAATGGGCTTCACACATTATACCCATGTGGGGAATCAAACTGTGTACTTCGGCATGACGTGCAAATGCTTTAACCACTGCCCCAGTTTGGCTAGAGAATGGGTTCAGGGTGTTTATTGTTCTAGAATGAAGGCATAATACACTGGGTGCATCCAGGATGCTACATTGTGGAAAATATATATTTATCAAGTTTTTTCACATGTTGATTTTTTTTATCCTGTCATGACCTCAGTATTTTCATTACCCCTTTACAAACCGACTTTCCTCAACTTGCAGGCTACCTGACAGGCAGCGAGGACTACCTCACACACAAGCGTTGCGACAACCACAATTACAGCCTTGGGGACATCTTTGAAGACCCCAATACTTATGGTAATCTCAAGGCCGATTTTTGTGGCCTTGACCTTCATGATGATACAAAGCCTGTTTTCAATGAGACCGGGCACTATTCAGCACATCTGTTCACAGAGAAGGCTATCAATGTGATCGAGAATCATGAGGAGTCAAAAGTAGGTGCAAGTTCCATTGAGATTGTTTTATTTCACTTCTTTGAGTTCCAGAAGTTGCTGTGAATCTTGAAATTAATGCCACTGCATTTGTGTGGTGACCTTGTCTTCCAGTTTGAATGTGTAACACTGTGACCTCAATGTGTAACAGTTTGACTGTTTCTTTTGGGTATTTCTTTGGCTTATCATGCCTTTTTCTTTATTTTTTATAGCCATTCTTCCTGTACATGGCCTATCAGTCTGTGCACGCCCCCCTGCAGGTTCCCAGCAAATACTTGGACCAGTACAGTCATATCCAGGACATGCAGAGACGCACTTATGCTGGTAATATAATCAGAAATATTATCTTTCATAGTGCAGGGTTTGAAATTCCTGTATTGGAGTGGCAATGGAATGAATAATATTAGTTCCTGGTGACTTAGGTGCCCTTAGAAATTATTTTTTAAACCAAATACATTGTGACAGTGACATTGTATGAAGCCTCAACTTGACGCCGAGTTGGAAGTACGCATGCTTTGCAAAATCTGAAATCGGCCAAAGGCTGCACGGCAGTTTACGAGCAGGATGTCAATCTCGGTACATGATTTTAATTGGACTCTGCATAGACTCATTAGTCCAGCCAAACTATAACCAGATACTTCTAGCCTAGTTCGGCAAGCGTGGAAACTGGACTTTTATAGTCAGTTAACTCCCTTGCCTCGGGAAGATGAGTGCGTAGGGGTTTACATCGCTTTTAGCAATATTCCAGCTATATCACAGCGGGGGACACCAGAAATGGGCTTCACACATTGTAACCATGTCAGGAATCAAACCCAGGTCTTCGACGTGACGAGCTAACGCTTTAACCACTAGGCAACCCGACAGCCCCTGCCTCGGGAAGATCAGTGAGTAGGGGTTTACACCGCTTTTAGCAATATTCCAGCTATATCACAGCGGGGGACACCAGAAATGGGCTTCACACATTGTAACCATGTCAGGAAACAAACCCAGGTCTTCGACGTGACGAGCTAACGCTTTAACCACTAGGCAACCCGACAGCCCCTGCCTCGGGAAGATCAGTGAGTAGGGGTTTACACCGCTTTTAGCAATATTCCAGCTATATTACAGCTGGGACTCGGAAAATGGGCTTCACACATTTTACCAATAGTGCAGGGGTGGACGAAACAAACCGGGGCCTTCAGTGTGACGAGTGAACACGTTAACCACTACCACCACACCATGCCCCTTCATCCAGACAGCTTGACAAGTATACAAGAGTACAATATATGCATGCATTAAGCCCTTGCTTGGTGTCCTTTTTGCTGTTCACGGCTCATATGTTCAGAACCTGGTTATTTTAGTGTCATGTTAAGTCCGTATGAACCATTTAAATATTTAACCACACGTTAGTACTTGAAGAGTAAATATTTTATATGAGCTGAAATCTTGTTAAAGTAAGTGTGCATTTATCAAATTTTACTTTTCCTCCTTTCCTTCATTCATTGGAAAAGTTTATGTTTATGTTGACACATGATACCCTTTTCTATTTTAGACACGACCTTGAACTTTTATGGAAGAATGTGTTTGTCACTGAATGGAAAATTCCATGAAAGAGCAATAAAACAACGTTGTATGACCTTGTAATATTCACAAAATATGAGTCCTACTATCACATTAACCCATCCTATGATGCTGAAAAAAATTAGAAAAATTATGAATACCTTAGTTCTCGCTACCGCTAAACAAAGATCTGAGGATGACCCATTATGGGTCACGTCAGACCAACCTTGTGCGAACTTTGACCGACCAATGGAATGACCAATCAGAAGGCAGCTTTTACTTGCTTTACGCCACTAATTTCAATTTGGCGATTACGCTTCGAAACATATTTTGACAAATTCTCGATTACAAATTTGAAACCTGAACAAAAGAACATTCTGGAATGGCTAATAGATGGTCTAGATTGTATGGATTCAGTCGTTAAACCAGTAACTATCATTCGGAATATCCCATGTTAAAGTTTTCGAGGTTGCATGATTAGAAATCACATTCCGACTGTCACTTTCATAATCTGGTAAGCGAAGCTCTGATTGATCGGATGAAAGGTCTTTCAGACGTAACCCCTAATGGGATGTCTCAGATCTTTGTTTAGCGGTAGCGAGAACTAAGGTCTGATTTAATGAGATTGTATTTGTCACTGAATGGATAATTCCATGAAAGAACAATAAAACCACGTTGTATGACCTTGTAATATTCACAAGATATGAGTCCTACTATCACATTAACCCATCCTATGATGCTGGAAAAAATAGAAAAATTATGAATACAGATTGTTCAACATAATTTTGTGAATCAACATTATAACACAGGATCTTACACTGCTATATTAACTTTGAGCCCAAAGTCTGTATATTTCGCAAGAGTCAGTATCTGCTGTAACAGTGGATACGTAAAGTAATGCTATTCCAAGAACTTATGACATAACTGACTTGTTCACGTGTATATATCACAAATTCAACTGTTATCGAAGATTGTTCATAAGAACTCTTCCACTCCTCCCATGCCTTTTAAATGTAGAGGTCAAGGTCAGTAAGGTAATTCATTGTAAAGCAGTAGTAAAATGTTTCTTTATTTTTTAAAAGAAATGAATAATTCAGTTACACACAATCAAGACAAAACGAATAGTCAGTGAACAAACAGATGCAGTCAAGATAACTTCAGACTCTTAGATTTGCAATGAAGTCAAAATGGTGTTGATGTTAGTGTCTTCCAATTTCAACACATCAGTATGGCAAAAACATTCCTGGTTTATTTAATTTGTCATAAGCATAAATGAGTAAAACTAGTGCAGCTGCACTCTCCTCAGTCCTTCTGAAAAAGTCTATCAGTTACAGGAAAGAATTCTGTCAGGAGAGCTTGAAAAACAGGAAATGGAAAAATAGAAACTGAACCTACAAATTCAACTCCTTGAGAAAATACTGCAACATGATAATATAGGAAAGTTCAGTTTACACTGTTACTCTCCCTGATGTAATAAACCTGTTGTTTCATTGCCATTATTTTGAATTATGATGTCATATATTTTAGATGGAGAATAACGTATTGGTGATATGATCTCTAATGCCTCGTCTATGATGCGTCATGTGTGTCTACCATGTCTTCTGTTGGCTGTTCATCTAGGTTGTTGGCGATCGGGTAGCCTAGTGGTTAAAGCGTTCGCTCGTCGCTTTGGTTCAATTCTCGACATGGGTTCAATGTGTGAAGCCCATATCTGGTGTGCCCCGCCATGATATTGCTGGAATATTGCTAAAAGTGGCTAAAAAACATCCTCACTCACTCACTCATCTAGGTTGTCACTGTCTCCTTGTTGCGGCTTATTCAGTAATATTGGTATGTTCGCGAGGACAACAAATGCGAGGACAATCCCACATCTTGCACATCCTTATCTATTGAATAAAAAGAAATGTTTGTCTCAAATACATAAATACAATATTTCACATTAACTTCAACATTTTAGAAACAGCTTGTTCACTACTTGGAAGTATCAGTTTTACTAGTCAGTTGATATGATAGTCGGGCTTCTTTAAATACTATTTGTATCTGCATGTGATCTATGTAAAACATACTTTATGGTTCTTGTTAAGCACACTACACAGTGAGTCCAAACTTTAAAGTGATGAAAAATCAAGATTAGATGGAAAAATGTCGTCAAATAATGTTCAAAATTGGATATGCATATTTACCTCAGTACATCTTTTCCTAGACTAACATTTAGTCTCAGAAATCTTATATTACACAATATCCTTCTTGACTCTAAAAATTAAAAAAAATCCCTATGCTGTGGAATAGAGCTAGCTAGAGCTGGCTAGACATGCTTTTGTATGCGTTTCTAGATTATTTTTTCATAAAATAAATATATTCCAAAGTCAGGGTGCAGGACTAATCTTTTTCCTTCGAGTAAATGTTCTTTCTATTGCAAGCTGTCATGTATCTCTGCTGAGCATTGCCTTGTGGAGTCACGTGATGGAGAAAAGGCCTGCAAGGATATCCACTGTCTCCCAATAGAAAGCCATCTGATATTGACATATGCAATCTCTCACATAAAGTATAGAAGTATTCACATTAAAGTGGAGGTTTTAAATACATGGCTGTTATGAGCTGATTCCGGCCATTTAACACACATTTGTAAATTTACTTTAAAATAGGCAAAAAATTCAGACATTAAGAATGTTCAGAATGGATAAATTTATTTCCATCATTAGCATATATATAATATTTTAAACTATATTTTCTTAAAACTAATTACAGCCTCTTTACACTGTTTAAAGCTATGCTGAAAAAATATGATACTAGGTTACCTTTCTAGAACATCCCATTTGTATTTTTTTAGAGCAATGAGAGCTTTCGCGTAAACCTTCCATTATTCATCATATTCCGAATATTTTTAGTACATATTTTTATATACCATACAAGGCAAGCTACTCTTATTGCAAAAAGGGACAATACTCAAAAGTCAAATGTCACAAGATGTGCCTTCATGGTCATACACTGCCATTATGTTGATACTGTGGTATCCTTTCTGAGTAACTGATTCGTCTGTGGTTGGTGCCTGATTACATATAACATATGCGTACCTTTCATGCATGCTAGGACACTTGGACACCTACCAAGGGTGAAGACTTCATCTTGAACATGAAGTATAACATTCTTGTGTTGGACATTTTATAAATTCATTCTTCCTTATAACAGAAGCATCAGTCACATCTGCTATAGCACATGAAGCTGTACTTCTGTCCACAACCATTGTATAACCAATCACTTGAAGCGAAACTACCCCTTGTGTAAAAACTGAAAGCTATCATAAGTTGTTGCTCGATGTTTAAAGCATGACTACGTTGTATAGGACCCTCAAAATCTTCCCTCGGTGTATTGACAGATTCACGTCCATATCTGTACGTATCCCAAAGTTCACTGTCTGTGTAGTACATTAATGCAGAATTAACAGCTGTTGCCTCGCATGAACCTATGCAAATGTGTAAGTGGCACTTGGCCTAACCATGATCGCCATTTTGTGTAAAGTATTTAACTGTGGTCAGAAGCGTGTTAACCTGGCCCAGGTGGTTAATGATTATCAATACATAACAATTATTGATTCATGTGCTGTTGAGAAGTTCTGTCTTTGTGTCGTTAGTTTTGATAGATTGCTCATGATAACAACACCTCAGTCAGATGTTTCAACAACTGTATATAAGAGATTAGATACCTCTTATTTTGATTTGGAACCGAGCACTTTGGTTGGTTTTGAATATGCATAATTTGACCCCAATTTTGACAGACCATGCTGACTTGGTTGACAGTTGGGTAGAGACTGGTTCCATGACAATTGCATGGCATGGAGAATGCAAATGTTGCAATGTTAAACCCAATTCACCCACTTCCTTGATCACATGGTTTGATGCTAAGGCTGGGACGGGTAACTCGGGTACTCGGGTCGGGTTGGTCCTGAGTAGGACCAGGGTACCCACTGGACTACCCGGACCCGTTGTTTATAAGTCATGTGATATATTGGTTAATGACAAAAATTATCTGAAACTCTATGTTTACGCTATAAGTCACTAATGTTCCCATTTCTTTCCGTCAATGGAACCATTAATTTTTACTTTTATATGTTTGAATAAAGATAAAACTTCATGCAGTAAACTTCACTGTATGCATGACCAGATAATTTTACACGTGTATCTAAATACATTTTGCCAGGCTAAGGTCAAACATTTTCAAATCGGACAGTTTGTACCTAATTCTAAATATCTACAGCGGGTACCCGGGTAGGTTTGGGTAATAGGGTGGTGGTTACCCGGGTAGTAAATTTGGACTGATCCCAGCCCTATTTGATGCACATGCTTTTGAGTGAGCCATCTATCTTGCATGTGCTCTCTGCATGTAATGTGTGTTTTAACTCAAATATCCCTTTGCTCCCTTCGAATGGGATGACTATTAAGATGTATTTTTCCGGAACATGGTTAAAAGGAAGCAAATATTTCTCATGCAATAACATTTACTTTTACCCATTAAGGAACTAAGTTTGGTGTCTCAAGTGTTGTATGAAATATGTCATTATGCCTCTCAAAAGTTGGTGTAGAATAGCATCCTTAGAAATTTGTGTTTTAACTTGTCATCAGAATTTGTTGCTAGTCCTACTTGAATGAGACAAAAATGTGTACTGCGTTTACATTTCTTTCTGTTTTATTCAGTTTCAATTTGAAGCAAAATTGAAGCATTGAGAACTGGTTCAAATTTAGCCATCACATGTTACCAAAACCGGGCTTGATTAAAGGAACTAGATTTAACTTGCACCAGGTGCATGTTGACATGAAAATCTAGTTGCACCATACATAACCTGGTTGCACCCTGATAAACATAAATTTATGTGATTTTTTATATAGATATTTGTATCCCGCATCATTAGATTGTTGCACAGGAATACTGCTATTAAAAGTAGAGTTGTATGTTTTCAGAAACAGATCCTACAAGGGGGTCAGAGAAAAGATATATTCCAGGATGTTTTTTGTGAATTCTAGAGGCCTGATAACCAAGAATATGGGGAGCTGATGAGACTAGATGCAACTAGGTTTTCATATTAACACATGGTTACGACTGCATTTCAAACACCTCTGCATATCAAACACCTTGTCAACAAATGTACAAACTGTACTAGGGCTGTCAGTATCAAAATTTGGGTACAAAATGTCCGATTGGGAATTGTTTTACCAGAGCCCAAAAACTATTTGCATGTGCTCAAACATATAAAAGTCTGAAGGAATATGTGCACAATCAGAAAAAATGCAAACATTCGTGACCTGTAGTGTAACCATGGAGTTTTATTGTTATTGTCATTAAACAATATATCACATGACCAACCACAGGTCTAGGTAGTCCTGTGGGAACCAAGGTCCTTCTCGGCACCCACCCGACCAGAGTACCCGAGCTACCCGTCCCAGCCCTAAACTGTACAGATGTGCTTGGCAAGGGTAAAGAAATTGTTGCTTATTTGGTTTTCCTATTTTCTACTGCAGGGATGACCTCATGTATGGACGAGGGGATCGGGAACATCACTGCAGCTCTCAAGGCTACTGGCCAGCTGGAGAATACTCTCATTGTATTTTCCACTGGTAAGTAATGTTTCTTTTGAATCTGTATCGCCCACAATGAGCTTTGTGGAACTAAATTATCTGTCCTTAGTGGATTAATTTTCAGTTCAGACACATGGTGGGATGTTAATGATATACTTAGTACGAGGCGGCAGTTCCTGCTGTGCAGAGTCGGGCAACAAATAAACACTTTTTTACACAAGTTCGGTCAGAGGCTAGTGCTACCGGTGGGGCAAGACATGCTTATCCTTTTCACATCGTTCTGGTGTTAGCACTGATTTTCAGGAATCCAGTCATATAATTTTCTCTGCGACTAGTGCTAGTTTGACTTTTACTCCCAGTGGAATCTGTTTCGGCGGATAATTGAGACTGGTTATTCTCTGTGTTGATGTGTTATATCCTGTGTATTCTCAGTCTGTCACTCATCATGTTCATACCACAGCCTGGCTCAAGTAAATGTGTTTTCTGGTTGGTGAGATTTGCTAATAATTGTCTACATGTTCACCGGCTATATTAGGGCTCGGAGACTAAAAGTATTTTTGTTCAGGATTAGGTAGTGTTGTGTGAGTTATTATTTTCTGAACTATTTTTCAAAATACTTCTTTTTCAGACAATGGTGGTCAGATCCATGCTGGAGGGAACAACTGGCCACTGAGGGGATGGAAGGCGTCATTATGGGAAGGGGGGTTCCATGGTGTGGGCTTTGTGTATGGTGAGATGCTGAAGAACAAAGGAACTGTCAATCATGAGCTGATCCATGTTTCTGATTGGTTCCCCACATTGGTGGGTGTGGCTGGTGGGAACACCAATGGAACAAAGCCTCTGGATGGATTTGACCAATGGACAACCATCAGGTATGCAAGTGTCGACATGGATTTTCAAGTAAATCAAGGATGTCAATTGAGTATATTATGGTGCAGAAAATGGCACCAACTTAAGTGTTGAGAAGTTTTTCAGCATTATTCCAGCTATATGACAATGGTCTGTAAAAAATCTAGTCTGGACCAGAAACTTAATAATTGATATCATAGGCATCAATCTACGCAATCAGGATACGATGACAAGCATCAACCAAATCAGTCTGACGACCTGATCCCATTAGTTGCCTCTCACAATCAAGCAAGGGTAGCTGAAGACCAATTCTAATTTGGATCTACACTTTGGCTAGAATTGGAATGTCACTTCAGCAGTTTTTAGCAGTCTCATTAATCCTTCAGTTAGGACTTCAGTTCACAGGTAATGTGTCTGACAAGTTCGTAGAATAAACAACACCTGAGTTTTCATAGTGCTTAAATGAATATTTATGTAGTTGCACCTTGCTGTTGGGGTGGTAAACACAACAAACACATCCAACAAAATTAACACATCCATTGGATCCCTGAATATTATTCTTAACACAAGATCAATCCAAGAAAATACATAAAATGACAAAATGCCTGATGTATATACTTCAAGTGTAATCTGGCAACTGCTCCAGATCACTAGAGAACAAAGGTATACCTGTGGTCAGCTGTGAGTGACCACAGAGAACAATAGAGTAGTCCAAGCGCGGGGTGGGATACTAAGTGCTGTGGGTGAAAAGCAGGCAGTGGTATGGTCAGTCAAGGCTTGATAAATAATAGACCAAATGAAACAGATAAGCTATGGTATTAATGTTTAAGCTGAAATACAATTATATGGAAAGAGTGGGACATAGTAAATAAACTCCGTACTTAATCCAAATCTGAAATAGAATGTATATAAAACTATGGCTAAAATAGAATTAAAACCTACTTGAATGTACAAAATATCAGTCTGCCACATTTACCAGGGGGGTTTTACCTTAGATTGTTACTCATAATATCACCCATTGGTAATGGGTCAGGTACATAGGGGCCACATTGATATAGCTGTTACAAGATAAAAGAAAATTAAATTTAGTTATTACAGGTAAAAATACTACATTATGTCATGAGAGTTTTTATTCCAACAAACAGATTAACATGAAAGAGGAATTAGATAATGGGTCCGAATCAATCATTCTTCAGTGTCATGGTAGAATGTACATGTATATAACCTATGCTAGCAGATCCAGAGGAGCATGCACTTGGGTGGACACACAAAGGACTTGAGTGACCATAGACATGGAAAGCCATGAGACAAAAGATAATGTGAATTTTAAATGTTCATTGCCCCTACCTTTTGCTGAGGTTGTTTTGAATATTGAGGTTTCAAATCTGCAGTACAGGGTTAGAACTACGCTCAAAAGCTTCACTAGCCCCGGTAAAGATAAAATGACTTTGTAATGTTAAAACAATGGGGAAATTTGTACTAGCCCGAATGAATTTGTACTAGCCTCGGACTTGCGGGCTAGTGTTAATTTCTAACCCTGCAGTAACATGCCTCACATATAGGAGGAAATTATCATGTTTATTTGCCATTCTCCCAGTGAAGGTGAGGCCAGCCCCAGGAAGGAGCTCTTACACAACATTGACATCATGGCGCATCCCAAGGGAGAGAAGCTGTATAACAACACCTTTGACACACGGATCAGAGCAGCTATACGAGTAGGAGACTGGAAGCTCATCACTGGAAATCCAGGTGTGTAGACACTCACCAATGCTCATTGTTGCTTGCTGTAGTTGGTAACAGGTGTCCATTGACAATTGATTATATTGGACACATCTCAGTGTCACCTGTTCCTGAGTACACTTATAGCATATCAGAAATGGTTCAATAATTATGCATGCAACAGTGTAATATTTTTTTCTGACCACCTACATTGAATTTTGGACCAGACAGTTTGTAAACAAATATTCCTAATGGCCATAGAACATAGGTTATCAAGGTGAGAATGTTTTAAAATAACGTGACACCCATAACATTTGAAAAATACCTGTGTGGCCCAAGGATCTAAATGGTATGTGTCTATATATAAACTGCACCACTCGCTTGTGCCAGGATGCATTGGTCCTGAGTTCAAATCCCAGATTTTACCCAGTTATAATCTTTGGTTCCTCTGCACCATATCATGCTCATGTGCTGTTTTGCTTTTTGCTTTCATCCAACCACTTTTCTAGTTGACTCAGGCAATACAAATTGAGTCCTCCATTCTTTATGGTACCCAATCCTGATGGCAGCTTGGCATTCATAGTAACTTGGATGAGTACCCATCTCAGCATTAGCAGATTAGGTGTGCATCATTTCGTAGATCATTGTGACCCTATTGATTGATGTTAACAGAGTCCAACCCTCTGGGGATTAGGGGTCATAACCAAATCCCTGTCGCAAGATATTGTGAGCAAAGATGACAGCAATCATCCAAGCAACCGAGCCAGACCACCCAGTCCTTTGGTCATCTCTTTCTACCAGCACAGGTTGCTAGGGACCAATTCTAACCCTGAATCCCTACAGGTGCTTGCCTGTTCCAGCCCCTGTCCCATAAAGCTGATATAATACAGTACGTCAGAGTATGTCACACATGCAATCACTCACAGATTCTTCTTCAATGCCCAGGAAACAGCAGCTGGATCCCGCCTCCACATCTCAGTAAGGAGATGGTTGTTGACCAAGGTGATAGCAAGAAGAACCTATGGCTGTTCAACATAGCAAAGGATCCAACAGAACACATGGATGTGTCAGCCACAAACCAGGACATTGTTAAGAAGATGCTGGACCGACTAGCCTACTACCAGAGCACAGCAGTACCCCCTGTGTACCCCCCTCCTGACCCAAAGTGTGACCCCAAACTACACGGAGGGGTGTGGGGGCCATGGGAGTAACCATAATTTACCACACACTCGCCTATTGAAGATAGGGGCAGGGCAGGTGGTTCATGTTGTCTCTAACTTGATTTATGTTAACATCCTGATATAAACTGTTGTTGATTAATTGAAAAAAACACAGCCGAAAGTAACCAAGTCCCTTGTAAGTGTAGTTATAGCTCCTTTGAAATGTAACTGGATGCTTCTTGGACATAACATTTGAATCAGATCCGTAATATTACCTTTGAAGATCAATCCTTTAGATATGACTTGCAGCCCCTTTGGAAGATGACTCAACTTTTTTAAATGTAACTTGGTTGGTAGTTCATTACTTTGAAATTGAACTTGGGTCTACTTTGGCTGGTTGCTCGATTCTTTGGAATTGAATTTTGATCTTCTTTTAATGGTAGCGTGATCCTTTGGATATAACTAGAATCTTGTTTGGATGGTACCTCGAAACTTTTGAAAGTACCTTGGATCTTCTTTGAATGGTAGCTTGACCTTTTCGAAAGTAACGTGGATCTTCTTTGGATGGAAGCTTGATCCTTTGGAAAGTAACTTGGATCTTCTTTGGTTGGTAGCGTGATCATTTGAATGAAATTTGGATCTTCTTTGATTGGTAGCTCAATCCTTAGGAAAGTAATTCGGATCTTCTGTGGTTGGTAGCTCAGTGCCGTGGAAAATAATTTGAATCTTCTGTGGCTGGAAGCTCAGTGCCTTGGGTTAACTTGGATCTTTGTCGTTGGGAGCTGAGTGCTTTGGAATATCACTTGGATCTTCTTTTAAGGTTGGAAGCTGAATCCTTTTGAATATAGTTTGGGTCTTCTTTGGTTGGAAGCTTGATCCTTATGAGATATTGATTGTTAATCATTTCATGCTGGGAGCTATATATGTAATAGTATCAAAAGTTAAGAATACTTATATACACATACCTCTTAAATTGTTTGTGTGCTAACCTACTTATGCTTGTTAATCATGGAATATTTCATGTTTTTGTATAAGGTGATTCACATATGGGCATGCATATCTATATCACAAGAGGACTATATCACAAGAGGAAACTCGAGCTTGCCAGTATTCTTAATGATGCTCTCACAATGAACTAATGGTGATAAATCATACATGTTGGTATTCTGTAGACTGCCTCCGTGGCCGAGTGGTAAAGAATCTGCCTGGAGAGCGGAAGATCAGGGCTTCGATTCACCGTCTCGTCATCCCCAAAAATGGTTAAAAAGATGGTACTTTTTGTTACCCTGCCTGGTGCTCGGCATTAATGGGCTAAAAGAAGGACTGGTCAGCATGGAGTCAGTATACTGTGTCTGAGGGATGTTAATGTTAAACTGTGGAATGGTATCTCAGTGGGCAGCACTATAAAATTCACTTCAATGATTCTTCAAAACATCATTTATCAGTTGCATAGAAGACTACATGTCGTAAGTGTCCATGACAGACAGGTACGATATGTTCACATAATCCTGACGCTATGGCCTAAATGTACCTAATTCTCAAATCAGCCTACATGTAAATGTAGCCAATGAAAGAGATAATAGAGCAATTAATAGAATGATGAAAGAATAACCTTGCATACAAGACAGTTGGCATTTAGATTCCAAAATTTGAGGCAAAAAGTGTCACCAACCAACATTTCCTTGGTGCTAGTATCTTGTTATGACACTGCCTGAATGTGTCATGACATGGTTAAACAATGTTTTATTTGTGTGTTGCCCTTGCACATTGTTATGGTTTGCTTCTAGACATTCCACAACCTCAGCAATTAGACATTCTGCCATGAATTTGGAAATTGCTCTAGTCTGATCAATCAGGGATTTCAAATCATAAGGGCTACCCCTAATTACAACAGTGTCTCACTGCACAAGGCTCCAAAGTTCACAAGAGATGTACAGTGACTTTTCAGGCCTCTAATTTCTTTGTTTTTGTTATTATTTATACAGTTGATTTAAAGCAGGGCTGCTCTAGTCATGACATCCAAGACTGCTTGTTTTTTAACCTATCCGTATTTTATGATTTATTACATTGAAAACCGTCTGTTACCATAAAGAAACAGTTTCTATTGTCAAGAGGACCATCTGTGGTTAGATTGTCTGACCTCTTTACACATTAATTGAATAAATAAGCCATGACATATCTATATTCAGGTGAAAGCATGAATGGATTGTTTAGCAGCTGTTAAAATACCTTCAGGCTAGTTGTTACTAGTATTGATTCAGATGCTATAATAAATTGTATTAATCTATACATGCTGAATTTTCTTGAACAATTGTGTCACAATATTTGATAAAGTGTTTTATTCCAGAAATATGATACTTACACAGAGATTTATCTAGGATTTTTAGCTAAGTGCCCCTGACAGGCAAATTGGGAATAATGAGTTATTTTTTCAATTTTTAAATTCAGGGGTATTTTGAGATTGCATCAAATGCAATAACATGAAACAGAGCATTAAACCCAGTTCCTAGTTATTGAATAGTAAATACAGGCTACTTCTACAAAGCCATAAAATTAATTATTTAAAATATATATTAATACCTGTAACAAGAAATCAGAAAGGTTTAGTTCCAAATTCAGAATTTTTCATGACATTTGCTGCAGATTTGGGGCCAAAAATCAGCCTCTGAGCACGTCTAGACAAATCTCTGTTGCAATACGGAAACACACTTGACTGATAATCTCTATGTATGTGATTTATTGATCTGAAATATGCTTGCTTTATACTGATACACACACTTTTATGTCATACATGACTTATTGCTACAATCAACAAACTTGAGGTTCGTGACATATCATTATGGAATATGTACATGGCAGCGGGTCAGTAATAATATTAAAATGTGTAGCATGTAATTGTTAAGAATCCTGAAGTTTACATTTTAGCAGTGCTGTGATGTGCCTTACATGGAGTGATAATGCATACACAAAGTTATTTTATTTACAATGCAAACTAGTCTTCATCCTTTTAATGAAATATATTCAATGTACTGACAATAAATTTACCAAACCTGATTTGGTGTTGATTTCATTGTTTTGGACAAAGGTAACATTTCATGATGGTAATGCATTTGGTGTAATAAAAAACAGTGATGATACCAGGTGTTCATGAAACAATGAGTGTGGTCTGCCCCACTGGGGGCACCTGTCAGAAACAGATGCATGGGGGAGTCAATTGCTTACCTGAAAAATACCTCATTTTTGTCACTAATGTATCAAATTTGGAAATGTCCTCTATATGTTTACCATCAAACCTTCTGAAAGCTTTACTGAGGCCTTGAATGTCATGACCCTGATCAAACAACTTTTGAGTATGACAATCTTTGAAATTCTCATTGAAAGAGTCTGCCCAACAACAGGCATCTATCAAGACTGAGACTCTTTTTGTGAGGAGATGTGGAGGACTTCCTGAGTCGGCCCTTCTGAATGAGCCGTGTCTGTAGTGGTGGTGGACTGGCCTCTTGGAACAATACGTCTGTGCCAACCTATAACGAAAGAGTGAGTGAGTTGGGTTTAACGCCGCTTTTAACAGTATTCCAGTTATATCACGACGTGTCAGCTTAATGTGGGAGGAAAGCCCGAAGTGATGCAGGCCTCAGACGTTTACCACTTCCGTGAAACCCACGAGCACGGGTATGGTGCTGACAAACCTAGAAACATAATCTGGGCGAACCGGAATTCGAACCCACAATCATAGGTTTCTGGCGTGTCCAAGGGACGCAACTCTGCACAGCAAATCGCGGCGCCTTAGACGACTGGGCCACCCGTGCCCCCTATAACGAAAGAAAGAGAAGTTTTAATTATAATAAATACATGAACATTTTTATTATATATATGATAGTTTATGTTTACCAGAAAACCTTCTGAAAGCTTTACTGAGGCCTTGAATGTCATGACCCTGATCAAACAAGTTTTGATTATGAATCGTATGTCAATCTTTGAAATCCTCATGGAAAGAGTCTGCCCAACAACAAGCACCTATCAAGACTGAGACTCTTTTTGTGAGGAGACGTGGAGGACTTCCTGAGTCGGCCCTTCTGAATGAGCCGTGTCTGTAGTGGTGGTGGACTGGCCTCTTGGAACAGCTCCGGGATACCCAGGGTCTGCTCACACACCTTGTTGTTTATACCTCTGTTCCAACCTATAACGAATGAAAGAAAAGTTTTAATTATAATAAATAGCTGCTGTCAACTGTCGTTGCTTGGGGGTTAGGGGGACAGTGGCGAAAGGCCACTGTGAATAATTGTGACCTGACTGCACCATGTCAGGCCTCTTAAATACAGTTTCAGCTCGACATTGAGTTAATATGAGTAAAGGTACTTAAAACTTCAAAGCATATGATGTTTTCACAATAAGTCAGTTGCGCCTCCCAATCAGAGTCGGCAAGTAAGTTGGAGTAGAGGCTAATTTCTAAAGGTAACTTGTTTACAGGCGATTAAAATTTCACAATTATTTGTGTTAGCAAGTAGGGCTGGGATGGGTTACTTGGGTCCGGTGGGTACCGAGTAGGACCTGGGTACCAACAGGACTACCCAGACCATGATTAGTCATTAATGTTTAATGGCCGAAATTGACATGACTCTATGGTTACACTGTAAGTGACAAATGTTGACATTCCTTTCTGACTATGCGTACATTCCTTCTGTCTTTATATGTTTGCATAAAGATAAAACTTTAGTCAAATTCAGTGTATGCATGACCAGATCGGTTCACACCTGCAGCTAAATACATTTTGACATGAGTATGGTCAAACATTTCCCAATCGGACATTTTGTACCCAAATCTTGAAACTGACAACGGGTACCGGGTAGGATCAGGTAATAGAGGGAGAGGGGGGGAGGGGGGTACCCATGTAGTAAATTTGGACTCGTCCCAGCCCTGTTTGCGAGTGACCATGTGAGTTTAACTTCCTTTCTTTCAGTACCAAGGTAAAAAAAGGAGCCGTTTTCGCTTTAGGAGAGGTGACGTTTTCGCTCGGTGATGTTTTGTTATGTGCGGTTTTAGCTATAACCAGGCTTGAATTATGGAGTCATACTTTAACTGGACAAACGAGTCTATGCATGGTCCAATCAAAATCGTATAACGTAATCGAAACTGATCGATATCCGGCTCGTAAGCTGCCGTGCAGATTTTGGCCGATGGCAGGATTTGCAAAGCATGCGTGTCAACAGATATTTACCAAATCTCTTCATGTTTGAAATCAAGGCGCTCATATTTGATGCACTTCGCGAAGTAAGACCCGTTTTATCACAATATAGATTTTGATTATCCATCAGATCGTCTTCACTGGGCACCGCCATTTTGTTTCAAGCAATTACAAGTGATATGAGAGGTGGAATCTGACTGGTCATAGGAGGGACATAGAAGGGACATAACTCGTAATGGCCACTAGTGACGCTACGATCGAGCCCAGAAACTCCAGCCTTGTTCGGCAAGGGTGGAAATTGGGCTTTTACAGTTAAGATACTCCCTTGCCTCGGGAAGATGTGAAAACACATATGGTGACCTTGGGTATTACCCTGTTGACTATAACCTATGCATGTTGAACGGGCGGATTACTGAATCGGATTTTACTTATATTATAAATGGCCACTCAGTGGTTGATTATATTATAAGAACACACGATAACCTTCACAATTTCACTGACTTCAAAGTTATTACAATGTCAACCCTCGCTAATGGTTAAAAAATACCGGACTCAAATCAAATGTGCCTGACCATTCACTTCTTATGTGTGATATTCATGCACCTGGTAAACACAGCTGATAAACATGGTGATGGTAATTCAGGACCGACACTTAGACGTTATAAAAGACATAATATCCCTTTGGGGTTTCTAGAAAGTGTGGAGGTGAGGGCTTGAGTTTCTGAAACCATTAACAAAATCGAATTGCAATTGGTTATACAGCGCGACATAAATGCTGCCTATGATAATTGTTTAATACGCTTGTACTCTGAACGTGGTTGCTTGGCGAGAAACAGGGGAAATAAGTCCAAAGGTAAATCGTTTTAAAACCCTACTGGTCCGATACCCTCCAGTCCCAGTGGGACACTGTCGTTGATTCCGAACAGGATTGGCTGCGCTGTAAAATCTCCATTTCAAGCAAATACATGTATCTGAAACAGTTGCAACGTAAATGTAAACGTTCATACCGTTCATTTGAGCAGCAACGTTGTTAAATATTAAGCATAACCCCGATGGCTGCGATTTTTTGAAAATTTATTGGAAAAATTGGTATGGCTGACTACCGTCGTGATCCAATCCCATGGGAGGTAACTCAGAATGGAGCCGTTTTCACGGACAAGGCCAGTGTTCTTAATAAGTAGAAATCTGACTATACTTCTTCATATAATGTATACCCAATGGTATCGTTTGATGATTCTCAATATCAGAAGATGACTGCTGACATGGACAATGGTACGGTGGAATCTGTTCCCTTGACACATACAGTCTATATTTACCAATTTCGCATGAAGATGTAAAGTATTCAATTAAGCACGTTAAATATGGTAAGACTGCCGGTTCAGATTTTATTCCTGCCGAAGCACTTAAAAATAATTTCTGTGAGATTGTTTGCAAAACATCTTTGATTTTGTTTGGAAAATAACATTTGTCCTAAAATCTGGAGCAAGAGACAGTGTACTTTCCTCGTCCCAGAAAGCCAGGCCCTGGTCCAAGAGACCCCTTAGGATACCGTGGTTTTCACTGATATCGCAAGGTAGAATAGGTCTTCAGCAACCCATGCTTGCCTTAAAAGGCGACTATGCTTGTCGTTAGAGGCGACTAACTGAATCAGGTGGCCAGACTCGCTGGCTTGGTTGATACAAGTCATCGTATCCCAATTGCGTGGATCGATGCTCATGATGTCAATCACTGGGTTGTCTGGTCCCCACTCGATTATTTACAGACCGCCGTCATAAAGCTGGAATGGAATATTACCGAGTGCGGTGTTAAACAACAAACAAACAAACCAGCAAACAAATAAAACACTGATATCGATACCTTGTAAGATCAATTCTGATATTCTGAACCTCCTTTTTACAAAATGGCATGATTCTAATGAATTGATGAGCAGAATGGTTTCCGGAGGAAACGTAGCACCGTAGAACATATTTATTCTTTAATTTCAGTTATCAATAACAGAAGCGTTCAACTTTTGTATGTTACATCGACGCTATGAGGCCTTCGATAGAGTTAACCGCAATTGTCCCGGGCACAAAACCGTGAGGCTTGGCATAAATGGAAAATGTTATGATGCAGTTAAATCACTGTATGAGAACAACATGTCATGTATTTCTAAAAATGGAAGTTTCACCGATAATTTTCCCATCTCTAGTGGTGTAAAACAAGGTTGTGTCTTATCTCCAACATGTTTTCCTCTATTTGTCAATGATTTGGTTCAAGAAATTTACGCTGTGGTATCGATATTGAGGGAACCATGCTAAGTTTGCCTCTGATGACATACGAGGGGTGTTCATTAAAGATTTCCCCCGACCCGCTTCCGATGGACCTAGTGGAATGATCGTAGCTCTGATCGCAGGGGACGAACACTCCCTTCACGTAATGCTTAACTGCGTTGCCAAATGGTGTGCTTGGTGGCGATTACAAATTGTAGAAAAGAAGAAAAATGTTCATTATAGACTACCTTCTGTTGCTAAAACCGAATTTATATTCAGGTGTGGTGATGATAATCTTGATTTAGCTTCCGCTTATAAATACATTGGGATTTGGTCACAGGAACACTTAGATTTGAATTTCACGGCGAACGAAATAGCTAAATCGGCAAGGAGGACTCTCAGTGTAATAATCAGGAAATTTAAATCTCTCGGTGGGCTGCCGTATGATGTTTTTAACACTTTAAACAATAACGTAGTTCAGCCTATGCTACGAGGGGCGTTCAATAAGTTTTACAACTTGGGCATTTGTGTTTACACAAACAATGTCAACTTGTGGCAGGTGTGACACTAGTCATAACATCAGGTTGACGCGTGTCATAACAAGTTCCAGACACAAC